GAAAAGCGAAAAGGAAAAAGACAAGAGAGAAGAAGGGATGAGAGAGGAGGAGGGGGGAGATGAAAAGAGGAAAAGTGAAAAGGAAAAAGACAAAAAAGAAGAAAAGCATAGAAAGGAGGAAGAAGAAGAAAAGAGGAAAGACAAAAAGGAAAAAGACAAACGAGAAGAAGAAATGAAAAAGGAGGAGAAAAGAGATGAAAGGAGGAAAAGTGAAAAAGAAAAAGACAAAACAGAAGAAGAGATGAAAAAGGAGGAGGAAGAAGATGAAAAGAGGAAAAGTGAACAGGAAAAATACAAAAAAGAAGAAGAGATGGAAAAGAAGGAGGAAGAGATAAAAATGGCATGCAAACAGTTCAGGAAAAAAGAAGAGAGACATGAGGAGAAAGGAATGAAGAATGAAAGGACATCAGCAATTAAAAAGAGAAGAAATGAAGAAATAATAAAGAGTAAGAATGAATTGAAAATGATGGAAGAGATGGAGGGCGAGGAGCCAATAACAAATAGGAGAACATGGGTGAGAACCAAGGAGGAGGAGGTGGAGAAGAACGAGGAAGGGCAAGAGCAAAAACCTGACGAGGAAAGAGAGGAAAGAAGAACGGGACAGTTAGACAGGAGGAAGTTGGATAAAGATTTGATCAAAATACAGGATGGAAGTGAAAACGTCTGGACGAGTGAAGAAAACAATAACGAGGATAAGGTGAAGCCAAAAACTTTGGAAGATCCACATGTGAGGAGAGGGGCAGAGGAGCAAGAACACACACACGCTCAGAAGGAAGAAATCACACTCAGACAAGAGACAGAGGACCATGGTGGAAATGCAAAAGTCCCGGAACACAAGGCAGAGATCAGACATCATATGGAAGAGACAAAAGAAGACGAAGACGGAGACACTAAATCGAAAGAAGAGACTGGAGGCAGAGAGGGAAAGAAAGATTCTGAGGATGAAAACAATGACAAAAAAAGCTTAAATTCTCAAAATGAGCAAAAAGGCAAACATCCTCTGTCCCCGTTAGGCCCTGGCCCATCGCCCGACGAGTCCTCAGTGAGACAGGCCTGCTCTGAGAGTGCACAGGATCCCCTTTCACACAGAAATATCTCTCTACCGGTGAGCCTTCCAGAGCACACGGAGCAGAAGAGGCTGTCCTGGATCAGAGACTGCATCGGCTGGTCCCAGCTCTCGCTGCACAACACCAGGAGACAGAACGGCTCTGTGCTGAGTGGAAGAAGGCGGAGGAGGGCCTGTGGGGCCAGCAGACCGCCCCCCCTCTGCCCCCACACCCTGCTCCGGCTGTCCGGCTGCACTGCCCTGCAGGAGGTAGGAGCTGCTCACCTCCGGACGAGGGGTCCAGGCCAGGCATGCCCTCATTCACTTTCTCACAGTCTTAGTCTCTATGAAAAGTCCATAATGAATATTCACATTGAGTTTTTGAGATTTTATGTCATCAGCCAATTAACGTTTTGATCGAAGTGTGTTCTAACTTCCAAAACAGAAAGCTGAGCAGTGGTCAGAGCCAGGTACCGACCTTAATATTTTAAAACTAAAATCTTTTTACTAAAGAAAAACACTCATTAGGACTCCTAAAAGTCCAAGGGCCACACAAAAAGAAAATTGTGTTATGTTATTTTGAAAATAAAATCTTCTAAATAACTTTTCAATGGTATATTAATGATTAAGGAGAGGTATACTTATAACTATGACCTCTCTTTTTTATTGCTTATATTCTATGTTCATTCATGTTGACTGAAACGCAAAGTCAAACAAATCTAAACTCTGTTGTGTATTTTTTAAAGATTTAGTAATGATTCAATAGTGATTTATTAATGATTAATGAAGAAAAAGTGAATTGTAAATTAAACCAACAGGGGAGGACACTGGTCAAATTCAGTCCTCTGACCTGACAGGGTCTCTTATTACTTATTACGTATTCAAAAACAGGTACCTGTTCCCAAATAGGTATGAAGACATCATAAACCAGCTATAAAATTAGGATACAGTAATGTTTTGGGTTTTGTGAGCTGTGTTGTATTCTAGTTTGTGTTCCAGTGTATTTTTTTTCAGTGTAACCCACATATCTGTTCAAAAACACACATTTTATGAGTGTAATCCACTTATTAAAACAGTGTTCCTCTTCAAAACTCTATTTTGTGTAATCCATCTATGCCTAGGTTCAAAACCCATATTCTTTCAGTGTTACCCAAGTGTAAAAGCAGTATATCTGGTCAGGTCACCACGGTTACTCTGGAGGACCTGCCTTGCTGCGGCCTCTCCACTCTGGCCCAGTGTCCTCAGCTCCGGTCACTCTCCCTCAGACGCTGTGGCCTGAAATCACTGGAAGGTGTCGGCCAGTTGCGGGAACTCTGCTACATCGATCTGCAGGTGAACACCGAGTTTTAAATGTTTGTTAGTGTGGAGTTATTGCTTCCCCCTTTTCCAGTCGTCGTGTCCTTGACTGTGGCTTTTCCTCAGGAGAATGAGATCTCGCTGGTCGACTGCGAACACATGACCGGTTTACGCGTTCTTCGACTCGCCCGGAACAAATTGACGACAATCCACGGTTTGAGTGGTGCCGACAACTTGAATATTCTTGACCTCTCCCACAACTCCATTACACGTATCGGTGAGACAAAGAAAACCCCAAGCTGCTCATGAAACATGAAAAAAGAAGTTTGTGTAAAATGTAGGAACTGAAAATAAGATAAATGCCAAACCAGTTCAACACGAAAACCTGTATAATACCCCACAGTCTGTACAAACCCAAAGCCAAAAGTTTGACACATGGTAAAATGTGGAAAAAATGTTAATAAGGATGATAAATATTCAAGTACTATGAGTCAGATGTTTTAATATTTCATTGTATCTACTCTGGATTTGCCTTGAAATCACATTTGTTTTGATCCTTCATGTAAATATAACTGAGTTGAAACTGAATTTTGACAAAAGTTCTGTAAACTGAGGAGGTAGGGAGATGGGTTTCTGGATCTTTGCTCAGACCTTGACTCTTGACTTATATCTGACTCACGCTGCTCAGAAGTTCTGTGTTATAGTTGTGCTGTGTTTTAATCGGTTTGACCACATAAAGGTTTTCCGCTCTGCCTCCGTCTATTTCGAGCAAGTTTTGGGTTGGAAAAGACTCCAAAATTTCTAAGCTGTGTTTCTTTTTAGCTCACGAGTGCCTCGCAGGTTTTTAGATTGCACAGTGAAATGATTGCAAAAACGTAGATTACACCTTGGTATTGTTCAACGAATGATCAACATAATTTCTTTTGGACTGCAAAACTTCAGTCTTTTTGTACCTCTCTCTTTGAACACATTCAAGTTTTTGGCAAGTTAATATTAAAACCACTGAGTTTTAGTATTTTTTATTTTCTTAAACAAACCTGAGCGCCAATATTCCACCAGAGGGCAGCAACTAGCCTCTTTTCATCCCTAAATCAAATACATAAAGACAGAACTATGACCACATAGCTCCCCCCATAGACCGGCCTGTATTGTTTTAGAGCTGAGCATTAGAGTTTAGGATGAGTGTTTGAGAAACTCACCCATATCCGTTTTCCTTATTTTTGTCTCACTCCTAGCTGGTCTGGAGTCTGTAACCAGGCTGCAGAGGCTTTCAGTGGCCCACAACCAGCTGATCAGTACCAAAGGGCTGAGGGATGTGTATACACTCCTCCACCTGGACCTTTCACACAACCACCTGACCAGGGTGGAGGGCCTGGAGAACAGCGCTCTGCTCCACACGCTGGACCTCAGATCCAACAGCCTGTCCGAGGTAAAAAGCCCCCGGCTCCATTTTGTCCAAATGTCGTGTAAGTGTGTGGTAAAGAAAACTTAGAAAGTGTATTCAACACGTGAATAGCATGTTTAAGCTCTCATCCAACCTTCTTTTCATTAAAAACATATTGAAATAATTAATGGATTTGAGAAGAAATTTTGAATATCAAGAAATTAAGGAAAGTGAATAAATTCGATATGAAAAACCAATTAGAAAAAGGCCAGCGTGACAGTGTTTGCTCGCTGCAGTGCTCTGCTCACTGTCTGATGAGCTCGTTTTGTGGAAAACAGAGAGGATAATACCCACAGCAGGACTAAGGCAGCTGACATTGATGGATGGGGTCAGTTAGTTGCTGCTGGACCAGCTACAGCGGCAGTGTAAAAGTTGGTTTAACCTCACAGTGTGACTGGTGTTAACTGACAACTCCTTTCTCTGTCAGCCCCCCGGTCTGAACAACCAGGTCCTGCTCAGAGAAGTGCGTCTGGACGACAACAGCATCTCCTCCGTGGAGGGCCTCGCAGCCTGCTGGCTCCCCCTGATGCAGACCCTGTCTGTGTCCCAAAACAGGTATGGAGTTACTACTCCAGTCCCAAACAAGACATTAATCCTCACTCTGAAAAAATAAGTTGCAACAAGTTCTTGGCGTTTACCTTTGATTTTTCAGATGCAAAAACAAAAACAAAAAACAAAAAAACAAAAATGTGTTCTTCCAACACTTATGTAGTCACATCCATGTATTTTAAAAGGTGACAAAGTCATGATAGAGTGAGCAATGCGTGAGCGTGTTGGATCCGAGGGTTGTAATGTTCCGTTTTCCTTCCCAGAATTACCCAGCTGCCTTCCATGACTGATTTTGTGTCCCTTGAAAATATGGATCTGAGATTCAACTGTCTGTCAGGTAACACGCTTTCTTCTTTTGACCCAAAGCCCAGCTAACATGTGCTATTAATAAAAAAGAAAGATGTATGCATTTTTCTGATATTTAGCTCATCTTACCTGATTTAGTAAGGTCTGTTTTTTTCTGATTTGGATTTATCTTTACGTGTGACACATTTTGCAACTCAGGTCCACAAAAATGAAAAATCACCATTAACAGCCCTGCAGCATTTGCCACATCTTTAATTTCTTTTCTTACGAGTGTTGCTCTTTTCTCCCATTCTTGATTCCTGATTCTGGAGATAGGGTCTGTGTTTAGTCATCCTTTTAGCAGTTTTGTGGTTTCTTGTTTGAGGCTTTTAAAGGTTGAAATGTTAAACTATAACCTCGCAATTAACCACTGTGAAAGCACATTAACAGAAATATCTAAAACTCTGAATGTGTGCAGAGGTCATACTAAAGTTGTTTTCGTGTCTTTTTGAAAATTAAAGTTGGGCAGTAATGTGCTATATTTACTTTGTAACACTTACTTCAGTCAGTTTTTGTACTTGTAAGAGTAATTTCTGTCTTTTCTGGAGAGAATTTATGACGAAGAACTTTTCTTTTTTTTTTCTCTTTTGCATTGACCAACTTTCGATTCACTGCTTATTTTAAATCATGTCATCAACTAAACCATTTGTTTTGTCTTGTTGAGAGATGTCCACAAAAGCCTCCTCCACCTGTTAAATATTGTCGTGGCTTTACAAACACAGAAAGAGTTAAACTTTCTGTTTTCGTACACACCCTAAATTCAGAGAGGTGCACCTCAAAACCTCAAATGATATTTACCCTTTAAACAAATTTATTAGACACAGTTTCAAAGTGACGAAAATAGCGATGATCCAGAAACAAAAGAGCATCTGCTTTGTGATTCTGAGCCTGTGTATGATTTGTAGAAGTCCCTGCTTGCTCCTCCTCTCACATCCATCAATGTCAACTTACCCCACCATAACATATGGTTATATTTTTTGTTATATAAAAAATGGGGAATTTCTTATTATTAATGTCAATATTTATTTGAATTATTATGCACATTAATGTAGATGTCACAGACAGTTTGTCAAAATGTACATACTGTACTGAAATACTCAAAACCTGAAAAGCCTCTCGACAAAAAATTCTGTTAGCTTTATAAGTTTGTTTATCACATGTTTGTGTCATATTAACTTATGTATATAGATCTCCTTTACATATTGTACATATTTGTAGAAATAATTTGTTTTTGGGAGGTATGATCAAGTGTTTGACATTCATTTTTAATTTGTTTTAAATAATAAACTTCCATATTGTTCCTTGTTCAATTATTGAAAAAACTAAGGCGATTCAGAACCAGAAGATTTAGAGCAACCCCGGCTTCACATTCAGTCCATTTTTATCTTAATCCTCCTGTTGTATTCTGATTAGTTTGACCCGTTTCAAAGGATGATCTGTCATAACACTGGTGTTCCTCCTCATAACTTCTAAAAAATGACATGGATGGCTGAAATGCTTTTAAAACAGCATCTTTCCTAAACTTTGAGAGGTTGCCTCTGATCACAACCCTGGTAAAAAAAAAGGGTTTCTGCCTTTGTTTAAAAACACGAGGCATGATTTCAAGTGAATGAGGTGTAATATTCCACATATATGTCTTAAGGAGAAACAAGTTAATTAAAACGGGGAAACATGTAAAATAATAATTTTACCCCTTTTGATTTACAAGCAGTCAAAAGAGACTTAGAGGACAACAGGTGTAAAATACATTATTGTCAACAAAGATTAAATTCATTTGTTTGAGTTTTGTTGTTTGATTGGTAATATCTGAATATATAACATGTCTTGTATTTTTGTCTTGTGTGCGAACATTCATCCTCTGTATTTGAATAGTTTTTGAGTTGCTTTTTTCACATGAATACTTTACATATTGACTTGAATAATGTTTTCTAAAATGACGATATTGAGTAAAAACTAAACCAGTGCATTGTGTTGTGTTTTCCACATGTAGGAATTGTGTGACTTTTTCTAGTGTGTATTTTGTCTACAAATGCAAAAGCGCTAGTAAATGGTTAGCATTCATTGCAGGCATGATTGTTTTAAAGCCCCGGGGCTGCTGTGGATGCTCTGATTTTCTCTCTGTCAGCTTCACTTTTCCATCAGGAACTTGAAAATTGTGGCTACGGCTTTGGCTAAAAGACATCATGTAGAAGTCTAATGTTCAGTGGGATGTCATATCTGTAGATGTCTTAGTCAAAAACTATGTATTACTTAACATATCTAAAACAATTCTTTAATTAATTTCATCCAGTTCATATGGTCCCTTCTTAAAAAGAACATTTGTTTTTCTCCTTATTTCCCCGTAGAGCTGCAGAATGTGTGTGAAAGCCTGATGGGATGTCACTTTCTTCGAGAAGTTCACCTGTTAGGGAATCCTCTTGAGCAGGACAGAGGCTGGAGGTAGGTCGAGGGCCGGACAGAGCACGGATGGAGGGCTGTTCTCCATTAAAGATGTTGTTTTCTCATCTGTCTGCATTAAGCTAAGTCAAACGCATGTAATTCTGAGTAATACCTGTGTCAGTCGCATTTACTTTGCAGGACCTGAAACACACTTTTAAATCACTTAAGGGTCATCAGAAACTTCCGAGGTTTTTTCATAAATTTCTTTGGGCAAAAGTTTCAGGTTCCTTTGGCCTGAAATGGCTCTCATCGTGATAGAGGTTCAAAGGGACTTACCAGTGAAAAGCCAGCGTTTGTCCGTCACAATTCCGTCTGTTGGCTCAGGTAGTCTAAACATTCCAGACCAACCCAGGCCTCCCTATCCACTTCCCTGGATAACCAAAGTGATCCGCGTCACCTATTAGATTACCGCGAGGCTCCACAGACATCTGCGTCTATGTACACCCATACTAAGCGCTCGTAATTCTCAAAATATTGATACAACAGAAAAGCCAATTATCTTTCATTGTCAATTTGCTCTCTCTCTTCATCTAAACACTTCAAGACAGTTTCAGGGAGTTGATCTGAAAAGTGAGCAATAATAACCACTATTTAAAGAAAAAAATATTTTATTTTTCTTCTGTGATGTAGGCTGCTATGTTTTTTGGCTCTTCGTGATTATTCACACCCATTTAGTATCGGAAAAATATCCAAAATACGAAAAAGTATACTCGCCCCTCCAAAATCCCTATGGGTGTCAGTTTTAGGTTGAACTTTTTTGTCAAGAATGTGTCAGTGGTCTTTTTGTGGGTTTGAAATGAGCTCCATCGTGCCAAAGTTGTATTTAGTACATTTGACACTGCTATCTCTTTTTCTTGTTCGTTTGTTTTATTTTTCAATGAAAATTTCATGATGAACTTGTTGGTTGCTAGCGCAAGTGAGTCATTCTCTGTCTGGAATTATCCCAAAAGCATGAGCTACTTTTGAAAAGGTTTTTAATTCCTAATTAAAACATTACCTTTATATTCCATTGAACTTTACTTAACCTCTAGTACCAACAGTGGAATTAACCCTCGGTATTCCCGTACTGGCCGTGTCGCTTTCATCCGAAGCCAGAGATAACACTGAGCTAAATTAAAGCACCAAAGAAGCGAGCGCTGAGAATTACATTCCCTGTGGGCAGCGCCTGATCCACGAAAAGCGTATCAGAGAAAGCAGCGGGCCTGATTTATCAGAGCCACCCTGAACCGGTGTTTTGGAGGAAGTCTTCACTAAAAGGAATACAGGCTGGAGGAGTTTGGAGGAATGTGAGAGAGAGATTGTGTTTCCTGCACAAATGCAGACGAAGTGCTTGAAACTGTCAGTTCTGTTCTTACGCATAACCTCAAGAGCTCATTGATTTGGATTATTTTATATGTATTGTAGGTCCAGTCCGTTTCTGAGTGGACTTTATATCCCCGCCTTGATGAGGTCATAGAACGACAAAATAGGTTCTATTTGAGATTTCAGTTTGTTTAAATGACAGCCAGGCAGTCTGACGACAACATGCCCACAGGGCTGGAATCGAACCCACATCTTAAATGGGAAGATGCTGTGGGTCAGATCTACTATGAAATCTCGTGGGTTTGTGGGACTTTAAAAACCACTGCAAGTATCTAAAAAAGTTCAGAGTCAATCCCGGATTTACCACCTGATGCAGTGCAATTTCTGTTTATTCACTTTTATACTACATCTGCATATTTCTTGGAAACAAATAAACACATGATTTCTTTGGTGTGAAAAGACCTTTTTTATTTTGAGGCCTAATTGTTTTTCTAAGCGTGATCAAACAACTTTTTATTTGTATAGTTTTTAGGTAACTGGCTCATTGGAAACTTAGTTTCTGATGTTATGATGGCCAAAAATTGACACTAAGCTGTAGGAAGCTATAAAATCAAGTCCTAGTGATCAGGTTTTTAATTGTACTATTATACTATTACATTATGGGGGAGAGCACCTGGGCTGTTCACATATGCACCATTTATTGATCCGTCTGATTCAGAACACAAAAAGTTTAACTGCAACACATGTTTTATGCTCCTCTGCTGATCTGGTATGATTTAAGAGCTTTTTGTTCCCTGGGAAGGATTTTTGAAAATAGTCTGTTACTAATGGTTTTAAAAATCAGCTTATGGCGTGAAAGCTAGTATTTTTTTCACAGTTTTATTGCTGCTGTTCCCTGGTGTTCTGCAGTTTCCAGCTCCACATTTTCCCATTGAACACAGGCCACATTTTTGCCCATGCTCTGTAGCTAGATGCTCAGCCTGTGTCTGTGGCGGATAGTTCAGATTCCTTAGCTTGAACATCCCTACCCTCCGGCGGCTCTTACATCTCCGTCACAATCTCAGCCACCATTCTCTTTTTAGGAAGACTTTTTTGAAGCACTTTTGTCAGAGTATTGTCAAACTAACAGCTAGCTCCTGTAAACATTCAAAATGAAAGCAAATCTCAAAGTTTAGAGCTGCATATAGAGATAGATATTCAGTTGGAGGGTAATAACAACTTTATATGGTCAGTTCACTGAACTATTATTTTTTTTAAAGATTGGATTAACAAAAAGGAGAACAAAAATAAACAAGGTAAAGGTTTTATCACAAAAAACGTTGAAGTTCTGTGGTGACCTGAGAAAAAGTGGTTAAAGCCACTTGTCTTACTTTGCTTCCCAGACAGGTTTTTTGTCTAAGGGGCCAAAGGTCACAGCTTCACTGTGCAAACTTTTCATTCCATCTTGAAATTTTAAGTTGTGCATATGAACATACAGTTTTTTTCCTAAATACGATCCTTAGTTGCTGTACTACCAGTACAACTTTGCCATCACGCTTCACCACGTTGTTGACGTTGTATTGATTTTGCTGTCGTTCGCAGACCCACACTGCAGAAGGCCCTGCCCGGCCTGAGGGCCATCGACAGCCAGCAGACGGACTCCCTCCCTTCAGCGCTGCCCGGTCAGCAGCTCAACGCTGTCCCAGGCTGTTTCTTCACTCTCTGTCAGGCTCAGCTTCAGCAGACTCAGGACCTACAACAGCGACACAGCGAGGAGCTCAGGTTAGGGCGCCGAATGTGTAAAATGGTCATCCACTGGTTTTCAAAGCATACCCCCCCTTTTAATATCTATAAAGCACTAAACAGGACCATAATTATCCGTCATAGGCCTCTGTTTTATTTAAACAACAGTAATCCTTTTGTGCATTTTATATAGTCCTTATTCCCAGTAGAGGGGCTGCATTGGGTAAGAGTTGGAGTCCACCCAGAACAGGAACCTAGTACAGAGATGAACAACCACACGTGCTTTAAACCATATAGTGTCTTTAAAATTTTAAAATTTTGAGATGCTCGGATTATTCAGGATTACAATTAGTTGATGTTGCAATCCATATCAATGTAATACACTTTTAATTCTTAATATTCTGACCTTATAATGTAGAAAATATGTTGAAAATGTAACGCATGACAATTGTTCAACAGTGTTGTTGAACTGGAACACAAAAGATGAATATAATGTTGGGGTAAAATGATTAGTTGATTAGAGGGTTTATAAAAAATGATGGCTATTGATTGTAACAGCTGTGGTCCAATAATGTAGAATGAGAACTGTTAAGAGGTTACACGATTAACATCGGGACACATTGTAAAGCCAGTTCTTAACTCATATCTGGAGTTACCCACTTGTTATACATGTTAATACCAATTGTGAACAGGATCTTACTTTGTCCCAGAAGTTCATAGCCTGATTTCTTTGTCTAAAATTGATTTAAAGGTGTTGAATAGAAAAATGGGACCGCCCTTTAGTTTCTCTGTCACGAATATGATATTCTCTTTATTTATACCTAAATTAATGGTGTTGTTTAGGAGCTGCAGGAAATAGGTTTGCCAGAACCAAGTGTTTAATTGACATACCAATACATAGACACAAAAAACAAAGAACTCATAAAAAACATAACCAAATAATGAAAAAGGATAACACTTAATGTGATGAAACAATAGATAGCGAACGCAGTTGTAGGAAATTAAATTAAGCTTTCTATTAATCTTAGGCAGAGCAGTCAGACATCAAGCTGATAGGAATGTTAGCTATCCTCTTGTTATGTCTGATACCTAAGGCGTAGTGAGCCCAAAGACAACGCCCATCTATTTTCTCAAGTCCTGCAGTGTTACTGGCCTCTGCACACGCTGACACTCGGATGCAGGCAGGACCACCAGCGCTTGAAACAGTGGTCAACACTCCGCTTATCATCCTGACCTTGTCAAATTACGCAGCACAAAAGATGAAACGTGACGGCGGCTACTTGTACGGGTCATGCTGGGGACTCCTGTGGCTCGGGGGTAGCGTGGCGCTCTCCTTTCTTCACCCCTGGCTGTGCGCCCTGCTATCCCCCCAGCCCCAGAACAATGAGCCATTTTGGGGGCTTTGCGAGAGCCAGCGCAGCCATTTAACCTCCGGCCTGACCTGGTGTCAGACTGCGGTTTAGAGGAGGTGAGATGGGTGCCACACGCCAGTCTACTGGTTATAGTAAGGTGGGAAACTAGGGTGTGAATAAATTATTTCATTTCACAGCTTTTGCTACAGACATGTAATGTCCTTTCTCATATAGCTTCTAAACTAGTTTCTCAATCCAGCCAGTGGAAAAATAATCCAATAAATGTACTCTCTTCCCCCTGGTTTTAAGTAATTTTGGAAAAATGGCTGTGCATTGCAGAAAATTCCCAATGGATGTATTGGTTTAGAGTCTTAAACAACCATAGATTTTTTTATTTGTATTTTTTAAATCTGTAAATTGATTCATCAGTTTTTGTAGTACCCTTATTTGATGAGTTGTACGAAAGTAAGATTATACAAAAAGCTGCAAGACGTAATAAGGTGTCATGAAAATGAAAAATAAAAAACAATTTCCTAACTTTCTGAAAGGATTGTGAAGGATTTATCAACATCATTAGTTTCATCTATGCAACAAAAATCCCCTAAATTAGGCTACAACTTCAAACTTGTAGGTCATTTACAGTTAAAAACAAAAATATAGGTGTTGTCAATCTGTCCTTTTTTTTCAGGGATGCATTTCAAAGTTCAGCTAAAACTAGTATGTATTCCAATAGGTTTTAGCTGCCTTTTACCATTACGTGTTCTAATTTGTCTTTATTCATCATATCATTATATAAAAAATGATAAACAATGTTTACTAACAATAAACTGAATGGAAATTGTAAAAAACATGCACACACATACAAACACGCAAAAAAGAATTTATCTTAGTCCTCAAAAAGGTTTGTTTGCTGGATAAAGATGGATTTTGTCCATTAAAAAAATGTTTGATTGGCCTTACCATATGTAATACCCCAAATATTAGGCTTTGTTTTCCTTGTCAGTGTTTGTTTCCAATTTGGACAACTACTTCTTCCACTTAATTAGAACCACGAGTTTAAACTGCCACCTACTGGTAAACCACTGCAGCCTGGTTTGTTTTCTCTTCAAAACAGTCACTGGAAAAGTGCCCACAGCCCAAGCTTGTGTCTGTGGGAAAGACATTTCAATGAGTTCCATTAAAAATACCACAACTTTGAAATCTTCCTACAGTCATTTCTTTTGGGAGAGCCCCTGATGATGAGACCACAGCAAGTTCTGTGCTCTTTATAAATTTAGAATTATTATTGGCGAAAGTAATGATACTAATTAGACGAAAACGTCCACATCCTTGTATGTGTACTATGGAGTGTAAATAGTATAAACTGGAGTCCAGTCTTTATCCAGCCCATGTATGTTTATGGTGACCCTGCAGTGAACTGGCAGGTATGGGGAGGGAGGATCATTCAGGTCACAGTTTTCTGTGACCTCCCCGACTCCCCTCTCTTGCCCCACTGAGACTGAAGAGCTAGGCCTTTGTAGAGAAGAAGTGGTACCGACGTTCCAGACACATAGAGTGTGTCTCTGCCCCTCAGGGTTCAAGACAGCAAGGGGCAGCACGGAGCAAAGCACAGTTAATAGATTCATTAAGATTCCCTTTAGGTGGCTTTGTTGTCAGTTTATCCCTCAATGAAAGAGACATTATGCATCAGGAGCTCGCATAGAGCCGACGGGGAAAGCTTTCGTCTGGACTGTGGTACGCACACACGTGTGTTCAGGATCACAACTTTTAGGGGCTTTTGATTTGGTAAAAATTAAAAAAAGATCCATCTTTAAATGTTTGGAACAGTAGATTAAGCATAACCATTAAACATGTGATTATGTAAGGGTGGGTAGCTTGTGCTTTTGCTTGATATAGAATGCTTTCAAATTGCCAAAAGCGACTACTTTTTCTGTGCTTATTTCTAGCAGGGCTTCATCTCCGCTGGATGCTGTGAAAAGTTTCAGCCGGCATTTCGCTGAGGCTCAGAAGCTTGCCGAGGACCAGCGATTCGCCCACGAATATGGTGACACCACCGTGTCCGAAAACACCGCTGCAGTTCAAACGATAGCCGAAAAGGCATCAAACGTGGACTTACAAACAGGGTGTATTTACTGGCCAGAAATGGATACAGCCAACAAAGGAACAGCAGTCGTCCAGAGAAAGAACAACATCAGAAGCAACTCTGGCAGTTTTGAGGAGAAGCCAGCTGAAGAGAGTACGTGTGACACGTTTGACATTGTTACCGTTGATCCTGAGGCAGGGTCAGCAGTTAGCAAAACTAACTCTGTTTTCTTTCTTCACAGTAAATGGAGAAAGAACCTCCCTCAACCTTGACAAAGTCATTTTGTCCGGATTCCACGACTTGGGCCACAAAAAGTAATTCACTTTGTGTTTTATCTGAGAAAGTCATACTTCTGTAAAGGATTTCCATTACATACTAAACTGTCAACAGAAAATCATCTTATGATAATGTATGTAATGAAAGCGTCCAGGTTCTTTGATGGCATAGAAGTAGACATAGCTGAATGAAAGCAAACACTGGGCTTTTTATATCGTTTTCTTTCTAGCAGCTCAGAATTTTATTACTTTCTGCTGCAGAACATTTGTCATCATTGGGTCCTCCTCTATGTGATTTACAGCAAGAGATGTTGAAGATCTTTTTCATTTTAACACGCAGCTTTATCATTAACGCAGTACTATCTTTGAGAGGGCTATAGATCTTTGATATGAAAGGTGGCTCTGGACAGGCTTGAAGTCTCTAGGGTCCTGCTCTCCAGATGTCTGCTCAGTAATAAATTTTTGTTTTGAAAGATGAAGGCACTATGACATCATGTGTATCTCTCACTCTCCGTGTGTGTGTGTGTGTCACTTTTGGAGGAGCGCAGCGGCAGTTTCGATTCAGCGGCGGTGGAGGAAATACAGACAAAAATGTGGGAACGTGGATGCTTCCATCATTGAGAGCGAATGGAAAACAAAAGGAGATGGAGAAGAGCCAGAATCTGGATCCCCCTTCTCTAACAGGAGCGCTGCTGGTCGAGACCACGCAGCAACTGTCATCCAGGTAAAAATCTTCAAAACTTTTTCAAACTGGCCTCTAAAGTCAGTATAAAGACTAAAAAATGACCCTGTGTCGTCCCACACCAAACAACTCTCCACCTGAGATGGCTTGATGAGCATTGGGGTAATTCAGAAGTAATTGCCTGAGGTCACTTTGACACAGTGGATATCTATCTGTATTCAAACTCCAACCTCAGTCCCTCAGTATCGGCCCTAAACGTGCCATGGAGGCTTTCAAAGATAATCCTCTGCACAGAGGTGTAAGCTGCAGCTATGAAAAACATACTACTCACCACCGCTCCCAAATCCCTTTTCAACACAAAAAGTGTTTGATGAGTCCTTTAGGGTTCTCCAAGGAAGAAGGTGGGGGGTTGTAGAAGAAGTTATGATGGAACAGAATATGTGTGTTTGCGTGTGTGTTGGACAGGTATGAAGTGATTAATCAGATTCCAAACAAATGCGGTAGTAAGAGTTGTAGGATTCCTGTGAGGCTCGACATGAAGTGGAGTGTGCCCCCCACAGCCCTCTGGGAATTGGAGGATTTAGAGGCACACTGGAGCTCCATTTGTCTCAGAGCAGCCCGGAGTCACGCAGAGTTCAGACAACAGAACGTTCAGCAATTAAAATAGGGGGCTAACATGTTTTATCTCCCTAATGGGATAACATACAGTATTTACGTTTGCTCTGATTCATGGATCGCTCTCTACCATTTCTTGCTGCGGGTACCTCCAGGCGTTTTGGAGGGGCTTCGCTCTGAGGAGGAGGCTTGCATGTGCTCTTGCTGCTGTCACATGGCCTGACGCTGGAGAGGAGGACGCCTTTGAGGAGGTGGATGTGGAGGAATTTGTCTTTGATGAGGTATGCGCTTGAGTTCATGTGTTCCTCACTTTCATGGTTCAGTGATTTCCCACCTTGTGACCTATCAGACTCCAAGAGCTGCATAAAGGTTGATACAATATAGCACAAAGGTACCCGTGTGCTTACCCATCGCGCTTGAACATGAACTGGCAGTTATGCGAGCAATGCACACAATAATATTACATATGGCATGCTTTATGATATGCTTTTTCTTTTTTTTTTTTTTAAATCCTCATAGCCAGAGCTGGAGAAATACTGGACAGTGACTTTTTCTGAGGACTCGCCTCCCAGACATTGTCCCAAATCACAGCAGCCATCATCTTCAAAGGTAAACACCAGAGATAATGTCAGTTATTCTCCAAACCTCTTACTATTGATATATTTTCCCCCTATTTTTTAAAGACTAGCTATCACATTTCATATAAGCAAATGAGTCATTTTCTTACCACTTTTCTTTCTGCCATTACATTATTCTCTTACAAAAAAAGATGATTTCCTGAAGGCATGAAAGTTATTTAGCACCAGCAGATGTCATTTTTCACACTAGCAGAAAATAGTCCCCCCCTCCTCCCTTCATTTACCTCTCATTGTATCTTTTCTTTGGAGCAAGCTCAGCGTTGTACATCATGGTAGCCGGATTGGAGCTGCTGATATGCTGCAGCTGCTGGTGTGGTTATCTTCAGCTTGTTGACACTGAGATACACATGAAAGGCAGGGTCTATTTAACAAGGACAACAAGGGGAAATCTGGATTGTAATTAAGCTGTTAGTTGGACTTACATATTATATATTAGCATTCTGTGAAAGCTTGCCTTTGTTTAAAGTAATGGCCGTATCTAAAATGATTTATTAATTATAATTGTATTCACTTTTTGTTGTTTTTCATAAACTTTACCTTAAGCTTCGAAGGTAAAACTCAATGTGGAAAAGAATGACTAAACTGTTCATTTTGAAAATCTCATATTTTCCACTGCTGCATGGCTATTCCATTTGCATTTTTGCTCTTGTTCTCAGTGAATTAAAAAGATTTGTACATTATCGCTAACACTGATCAGTAATGTGTTTCAGCCTCCCGTGTCTGTTGATGATCCCTCACAGTACTTCCGTTCACCACCACTCGTACAGAGTCCGAGGCAGGCCTGGATGGCTGAGCAACAGGTGGACTCGGTCGGCCAAAGAATTTCACTGGCGAGTTCCAACAGGTAGGAAAAAAGAAAAACCCAATCCAAGTAGAATCCAAGTAGGGTCAACACTTTAATTAGTTTGTTTCTGCTCTGTAATTAATGGGGGGATGAAAAATATAAAAAACATGTTTACAAAAAGTGTCAGCTACACTCAATTATATCTGGTAAAAGTTTGCAAAGTCATGAAAGAAAGTGCTGTTAGTAATAATTTTGGCTGTGTTTCCTCTGAGTAAATCACTCTTCTACTGTGTTAAAATGCTTTAGTAATGGAGTTTTTAGCTTATTAACTATCTAAAATCCTATCCTATCATTCCTCTGGTTAAAGTATGAGCATTGTCATTTAACTGCATTAAACGAATCAATGTCCTCTTTATGTTATTTTTTGGCACTTTAAGTAAGAAACCAACATGGATCTACAAATACTAAACAGACTTAACTTAAAATTACTATCTCAGTACAATCATAGCAAATGTACTGTATATTGGCTAAAAATGGTGATTTGTGGTTGTCAAAAGCCCAAATCGGATGAATAAAGTTTTTGCGAATCCCATTAAACTTTAAATGCAGTGTGCTTGTTGGTTCAGGGTCCTCAGTAGCTCCTTTATAAAAGCTTTTCATTTAGGAACTGAGTCATTACATTAATTAAATGTAAATCCTTATTTTATACTGCAATATCATTACAAATTTCAGCTTTAGGCACTCCGAATTCACCATCAAATGTAGAATCGAATTTATATTATTAAAATCATCATTCAAAGTATTCCATTTCCATAAATTCCACTTGAGTCCAATTCCTTCAGAGACAAATCAAAAAAGTCTCCCAGCTAAGGGAACTAACAGATTCTTAAAATCTTCGCTTTGATCCAATTCCCCGTCCTGAGTGCTTGTGGAATAAGTGAAAAAAAACCCACAAACTGCTTTTCAGACGTGAAAAACGTTTGGCAGAACCAGTCAGGGAGGATGGCTATCTGACTATCTGGCCAGCAGGAGAAACACAAGTTAAGTACGACAAGAATGTCTCATGTACATGGAAAAAAGAGATAACGAGTGAGGAAAGGTGCATTATTGGAGGGCCCCTAGCAATCTAGACCTATAGCAGCATAACTATGGGAAGATTCAGGGTCACCTGAGTCATCCCTAACAATAAGTTTAGTAGAAAATAGACATTTTTAAGCCTGATCTTGAAGACAGAGGGGTAAAACAATAAAAAGTGCAATGATGTATAAATACAGGCTGTGCTTTTAATGTATTTGGAAAGCGTTTAAAGATAATTGCCTTTTCATGTTTTCAGAAGCCGGTCTCCTGCTTCATCATCAGGGCTCAGTGGTCTGTCTGAAAGATCAGAAAAGATTCTGGAAGAATGGTAACTTATCATTAAATAATATATTTGGTTGATTTCTGATATCTCAAATAGAGATTCTGCTGTTAAAGAGTTGGAGGTTGATATTCTGTCCTTGTTGTGTTCAGGGGCTTCACTGACAGCCGCACAGCTCAGCTCATGCTAAAGAGAGCCCAGCGGATGAAACTTACTAAAAAACAGCAGAAAAAGAATAGCAGTAAGTGTGGGGGATAAAATACACATTTTAATTTAGGTACTTTTTTCCTGTTCTGCATTTGTCTGTCAAATGATACTGGTTTATCAGACTTGTTTTCATGTGGTTGTAGCTTCAGAAACTTTCTGTCCACACAATATGGAAAATCCTGCTGTTAGTAGAAATAAATCTGTTCTCTGAAATGGAAAAAAAAAAATCCCCACTAATTTTTGAGCCCTTTCAGTCTCATCTCTGTTCTCCCTATCGTGCCTCAACAGCAGTGAACCTTTCCACCCCATGTAAGTTAACGAGCCATAACAGACAGCAGAAGCCAGAGCCTGTCGCCTTCTATTGGGTCTTATTTAGAAGCCTGGAAAGGAAATAGCGATTGCCAAGAAACCTCTTGACAAGTCGTCGTGTGATGACTTTCATTCCACCTCACTGTTGGAGCTGAGTGAAGCTGCAGTGCAAAGTGACCTCACCTCTGCTTCTCTCCAAGAAACAGTAGTTCTGCCATGCCTGGCATGCATGTCGGCCATGTCTTTGATCAGACTTGAAAATGCATGATTCTAATGGCAGTGTTCTTGTCATGTTGCTCCACCGCCACACAGGTCTATGTCGGCTGTAACTCCTAATGGCATCTGCCTCAGTGGAACCAGAGCGCTCTTCTAATATTTTCCGAATGCTGTATCCTGTTTTTCTGCTTCTTGTTTTAGGCTTGCTTTGTCCTCCTTTGACACTCTGTTTTTCCCCTTATTCTTTCAGATCCTTCCCTCCGACTGGCCGTGATCGAAAACTGCACTTATGAGCGGGGACCTGTGGAGGCACGAAACAGACCTGCACAATGCAACAGATATTCTCTAAAAGGTTGGGACATAGATTTGCCACTATATATATATTTTTTTTTAATCGGTTGCATTTTCTTCATAAACATTTTTTTCTCACTTGAGCTTTTCTTTGTGCAGTGGACACTTTGAACAAACCATGGGCCAGTGTTTTTAAAGCAGATGAGAAATGGTCCTTTTAAGATTTAAGAAGTTGTTCCCTGGGTAGCAGCTCAGTAGCCAGTAGTTAGATACCAAAGCAGATGATTGTGCTCATATGAAAATGCACAGAATAAATGATGACACATTCAAACCCAAAGGCTAGACAGTTTGGATTGTATTGAATTTGTATTTTATTAAATGATTTGGGTTCTTGTCAACTTTAGTCAAGTTAGAATCAACCAATACTATTTATACAATTTTTTTTTCTCGTCGATTCAATTTAATATGTTAATAATCTATATCATCTACACATTTCACAAACACTTTGGTTGAGAAAAGTAATGAGATTCAATACATTTTAAAAAAGAGATGCTCTATTAAAAAAGTTTAGGTTTTTGCACAAAACCACCTTTGATGGTAAAGTTGAGTCTTTGAAGAATAACATTTTTGTGTGAGTAAAATATTGAACTGATTCAAAGCAATGTTTCACATTAGGGATTGAAAGGTTTTGCATATTTGTGCCTTTACATGGCAGAAAATTAAGAAACCCTTTGAAAGGCCTTGAGGAATCTGTATTTTAAGGGCAAATGTGAGTCAAAGCTGCACACCTGGGATGTGTGGTTTCCCCAACAGTTCTATATAAAGAGCTGTCATTTGTTTACAACTGATAGGCCTTACTGTCCAAAAAACAGAGGTTTCATGTTATTCCACAGAGGCAGACCAATCATTGTAGAAAGACAAAGACAATGCAAAGAGAAAGCTCTGTATAGGCGTCTCAGTGTTGTTTTGGGGGGAAAATGCATTAAGAATTAAGGAAACAAGGCAAAAATACACACTGCATACATCCATCCATTATCGTAACCACTTAATCCCAGATGGGGTCGTGTGGGGAACTGGAGCCTATCCCAGTGGTCAATGGACGGTCCACCAGTCTATCACAGGGTCACACAGAGACACACAAGGACCAACAACCATGCACACTTCCAAAAAATCTTCCAAAATATATAAAAGTTAAAGTGAATCTAAAAAGAAATCCAGGATTACTTGTTTTGTTGTTTCGAGAAACATACAATAAAGGAAATAAAAGATTAAATTTAAGCACTTGACACATTTTCCAGTGGTGAGAGTTCATGAAGTTTTCAACTTGATTCCAAGGAACGGCGGTCTAGTTTGTAACTGAGCCAGAGAAAGCGCCAGCTGTGAATGTGGGTGCTGCACTCTTAGGAGTAGGCACAGGTCACATCTGAATTTATTAACGCACCAGCTCCACCACTGTCACGTCCTGTACGCACCCCCAATTTGTAAATGACTCATTCCACTGGGAAATGAGTCAGCTCTGTTATAGAGGTGCTGAAATATTTTCATTTTTTTATGTTCATTCACCCTCTGTACAGTGCACGACAACCATTTTATGCGATACATCTAAGGTAATGGGCAAAATATGTACAGTTCCTGTTTGCAAATAATCTACCAAACAAGCACCTTACAAAGACAGTAATCATATTGCTCTTGGGAAAAGGAAAAAAATATATATATCCTGCCTATTTTAGCTGGGTTTCCAACCAAATAAAACCTTTGTTTAAACATCTAACTTTTGACCAAAAAAAATGGCCTTGGAGTGGATACAGTAGATGCCCTGGTAAGCTGAAACCCAAATGATAAACTACATAAACCAACATTTAGTTATTAAAAGGGTTTCTAAAAAAAAAACCTTTTGGTTAACTCTTTTATGAATATTTGTCCAAACAAAAGTTTAAACCATTCCCACAAAATATGTTTTGCTTTCTCAGAGCCAAACTGGTTCCAACTCATGTACAACAAATGAGAACATCATTATTATTTATGTGCGTTCTTAGCCAAAAAAATCTACAGTTTCCCTTGTGGTTTGAAATAGTAAAGGTGGACCTCATCCATCTTTTTTGCCATGGCTAGATGCCCTGCCCTGGAGAGGTGCAGAGATGGTTTTCATTGTGTCATGCTCAGTGCACACGGATGGGGGAAACTTTGCTTTCATCATGAGGCCCCGCCTCCGTCTTTCCTCCTCACCCCACCTAGACTCCCTTTCCCACCCGTCGGGGTCGAGGCCTTGCATCCAGAGAGCACGAAGCTTGCGGTCATCCAGCAGTCAGAGGCACACTGTGTTTGCCAAGACTGCTCTCAGTCCAAAGCTGATAAGAGTATGAAATACCCCTTCATTTGTTGTGGACCAATACACCACATTTGCTTGCCATTTCATATTTATCTTTTTTTAGGTGAAACAATCTAGTCATTTTGTTTAATTGTTAAGATTCTCAGTTTGTAAAATTTTTTCTATTACAGGCCCCCATTCATCTGGTAAATGCAGGCGTAAAGTATCAACTTTCTAAGGCTGTGATAAACTCTCAGCCAGAAGGCCAATGACAAACGTTTTTACTCTAATAATCTTTTACTTTTACCAATCCAGTTCTGATTTTGTCGTTTGTTATTTTCCCCTCTCCACCCTTTTATTGATTAACTGTCATTCGTAGATGATCAATGAACCAGCCAATAATGAGGAGTCTGTGGTTAGCTTGAGATCCTTTGTTCTGCTTTGAATTTTATATATTCCGATATATTTCTTTTTTTCTCGCTTGAGTGGGATCCTGTAAAATGTGTAACTCTAACCTGCTCGGTTCTCGAGGAGACAACTCCTGCTGCCTTTTTACAGGATGGCCATGAAGCCGTGGTGACATTAGTCTCGGAGGAGGAATGTCAGGAGCTGACTGCAGAGCTGTGGTCCTGGATCTCTGTCAATGGCCCTAGGTTAACCTGAGCACATGCTCCCCTGGTCCTGACCTGTGAAAGGCACCCCTCCTCCGGATCCATCCCCAATGCCCGGGGCCTAGCCAGCCCATCCCAGGCTGGCCCAGCCAGCGCTCCCCGACAGAGGCTAACGTTTCAGGCTTTGAGTCAAACCCCTTCTGGAGGTGATTAGCCCCAAACCCATGACAGATTCTTTCCAAGATATCTGACGCGGTGTGTTTATTTTATCCGGGCTCTTTGTGTGGATGTGCTGGACATGAGTAACCCGCTTGAAATGGGTATCGGCTTACATACCCAAGGAGGGAGATAGAGGGACGGAATGGTTCGGAAACATGAGAAATCTTCTTTTGAAGGCAAAAAATACATATGCACACATTTCTCAATTTTACGCAGTTTTGCTTCTTTAGGTTTCTCGTTGCTTCACCCACAGAAGATGCTGCGTTACACCAAGCATTTCACCTCATTTCTGAACTTCAGTTTCCACCAACTCCCTCCACTCAGTGCCCTCAGGCACGCACTCTCACTCTCTTCCAAGCTTCCTCATCTATCTAAACCCCAACCCCGCCAAACATCCGTCCTCCAGTCATGGGGACACAAGAATATGTATTTTTGTTTCAGCCTGGAACCTCTACCTCCTGAGCACTTAACTCGATTTCACACTTCAAGTCATCAACAAAGTCAAAATGAAACATAACCACTGTGTTTATCACAGATTATCCAAAATAACTCTACATTTGAGCACCACTCATATGCATTCAATTTGGGAGCTTCTATTTCCAGTGTATCAGGCAGTGGAGCTCTCTCCTGGTATATGTTTGAGAACCAGTGGCAAACTTTAGAGACATGCTGAGTGAGTGTATGGTGGATGGGCCGCCTGAATCAGAGATTAAACAGAGAAAATACTGGGTCAGTTTAATTTTAGATTCACGCTTGTTTGACTTTTGGATAGCAAATGCCATAAAAACAGCATTTGAGGAACCAAACACTATACTCCTGATGTTTCTTGAACTATAGTTCTCCCTATAAATAATATAGAATTATATAGCCTAGAAATATATATCTTTGCCAAAGCATAAAATCCCAAACATATTGCACAAAAGTTGTCATTTAAAATGCTAACTGCTTGAATCGATTTTCGAGAATCGAGAATCCAGCGGTTTTACAAAGTATGCAGGATTTTCTCCTCAGCGTTTCCTAAAAAGAAAATAGAGAGAGATCATATTCGATAATCAACTGTTTGCACAGCCAAATCATTCACAAAAATGTTTTAATCCAAAAGTACTTTGAGATTCTCTATATTTTGCACATTTGACTTACTCACTGTGCCAGCTCATAGTCTTTGTGTTTAAATCAGAATTATAACAATATTAACTGCGTATTCTCTGTTAGTACATGAAGAGGCTTAGATCCATTACTCTCGAATAAAATACATTTTTTAAATATTTGAAAGGGTTTCATTTGATTTGATTGTTGTCTTTGAGATAGTTGCTTTGTATTTGTGGTCAGATTTCAGCATAAAGACGTATGTGGATTGAATTGTCCCTTAAGATGAAACAATGAACACACAAACTTAGTCATGCATTGTTTGATATCTAATTGTAAGTGGAATTGCTTCTAATCCTTGGCATGGCCCAGTATAGTGTGTTACTGCGGTAAGCTTGAAGGAGGCTCCATAGTGCCAAAGCTGCATCTCTCCTTCATCTCTGGTTAGCTGCAGGCCAAAAAGGCCTCCACCCTCCTCCTCCTCACCTTCCTGAATTGAGTTCTCCCTTCTCTGCTCAGTGAAGACCAGATCACTTAATGTGCTTAAGAGTCCCCCTTAACAACCGTGACTCCTAAGGGCCCCCCTCCTGATGTCCTGGAGGGAATACTGGAGGGGTATTCGGTAGGTTGGAGGAGGTCAAGAGGTACCTTATACTCAAGGGGTTCAGAGTGGAGAGAAGGGAGGAAGACTATGATACTGGAATGCAACATACATGTGCACTTTTTAAGGGACTGATTTATTATTGTAAACATCTTAAGGATTGCTGACATATCTTTAGTCATTTCCGATAAATCTAATGTTTGAATATTACCTATAATAAACTATAAAAGCATTTTTTAAATGTCCCAAACTAGAATTCTTCTTTAGGTTATAGAGCCATAATGAGTAATGTCTAAAAACCAACATCTTCGTAAAAACAGGCTTCTCTGGAGTTATTTGGGCTGAAAATACTCTCGGTTTGTCTCTCAGCTTTAGGAAGTGCACACAGCCATTTCCTGGCCTTTGCTGCCCGGGGGGAAGCATCCATCACTTGACATTTTTAGTGGGGCTTCTCAATTAACCCATGAAAACTGTAAGACTTTTCTCTTCCTTTTACAGCTCCGCAAAAGCAAGTAAATCGCTTAAATAAATGCGTCATTAGTTCCAGCACTGCGCTGTCAAAATTCATTATCAGTTTACACCCATCCACAGCAGCTTTACTGTCAGTGTAACATAAATGTTTACTTTGAATTACAACCTTATTATGGGATTACAGCAGAAATCGTAAATCAGAAGCCTTTTAAAAAAGAAAAGATTTCTCTGTAACAAACTTGTAGAATATTGCTTTGATTCAGTTTCACAAAGAACCACATGCTCCGGTGAAATTGCTGGAAAAACCCAAAGCCGCCCCCTTTGAATCTCACAGCCTCTTTAGATGTATTACAAGTAGTCCTTCAAACAAATACACAACCCTGACATAACTGTTGAGAGCTCTGACCACTGATCTGTTCCTGTGCAGGGAAAGCATTCTGACTCTAATTACAACAAAACATGTCAAACTTTGTCACAAATGAGGCCCGTGACCTGTTTATTTTTCAGAGCTTGTTCACTGCCGGGTGTCTGTTAACACATTTTGTCACAGCAGTATTTAATATGTCGTTCAGAAGCACCCTGCCTTCTTCTTCTACTTGCCTGCAAGCTCCATCTTGGCTGCCATTTGCGAGACAAAGAGTACTGACATTTTTTTGTTTGCCGTTTTCTCTGGAGTGCAGTCGGTCTGGGCCTTCAGCAGGCGGAGCGGCCGGAGCGAATGAGGCGGGAAAAAGCTCCACATGGGCAGCACACACGGACCGCTCAGCCCGACAGGCACTCAGACAGGTGAGGCTTTCCTGGAGTTCACAGGGGGCTGATTTAGCATACAGGAAGGATTCTGAGTGGACGACCAGCCTGCCGTCTTCTCTGATACATCACTGCCACAAAAAAACACGACCCAGCCTTTCCTTTCATTTATTCATTTTCTAAACGATTTGTTATGTGTGCAAGGCCTTTGGTTTAAACAGCTATGGAAGGGTGGTAGAAATTTTAAAAGCTTTCAGAAATGATCATTTAACAAAAAAGGTAGTATCATCCTTGTTATTTTTTGGTATAGTGTATGATGACAGACAAAATCTGTGTTGGAGAAGCAGCAGGTTCAAAAGGGAAACCTTTCTATAAAATTCCCAGGCCCAAAGACTTACATATATTACACATCAGGCAGGTTCTGGTTCTTTATGGCCTCATTTGAGGTAGATGTGTCTGAAAAACCTTCAAACAGGAGGGATCCTAATTCCCACATCTTCTACATCTTCTACATGTAAGATTTAATCTTAAAAGGAACAACATCTCTGGCTTGGAAACCCTCAGTGTCTGCACATTGACACACTAACATGCACAGGAAGTGAAGTAAACTGAGTATTGAGGGAGGTTTTCAAATGCTCTGTAACCGGTGGATTACTGGAAATGAGTGTCTGAAGCAATGAGGGCGTAGGACTGTGCCACCCCATTTCTGGAAACCATCACCGGCCTTTGTTGTTATCCAGTGTTAATGGCGTTGAATTAGAGGAGGGTCTTCAGACTGATGGAAGCACTCAACATGTTCTGTCTCATCCTCAGTGTTCACTTCTTACCAGAGATGAATTCCTCCATTCTGCAAGGAGGCAAAGTGCAGCTGGTGGTGAGTTCTGTTGCCTCCTGTTCAAAATGCTGCACATTTTCATTTTCCTCCGCGAGTTTTGTGCAAAACTCGAAACACATGTAATATTGCAAAACTTTTAATGGTTGAAAAATGCTTGTAAGGTTGTAAGTTGAGATGTAATGTAGAGCGGATGGTGGCGTAACAACACAGACTGTGAAATAAGAAAACTGCTTTTGGTTAAAGTATATAATAAAGATATTACGAATGCACGATTACAGATTTGCATCACGTCTTCATGCTTCGGTTTCTTTCTCCATTCTAATGCTACTGCCAGCATTCATTAAAAAAAAAAAAAAGAGGAAATGAGTTGAGGCTGAGCTCTACAGTGACACTTTCAATTGGACCAATGCACCGCAATTTCTTCCTTTCACTTGGAGAAATGCTTTTGTCATGTTAGGGCAAACCGTACTGATGCTTGTGAGGTCTTTGAAGTCAGAACCCGCCGCTCTCCCTGTGTTGTTCTACAGCCGTTTGAGTTAAGATTCCTGGCAGGAGGAGCCGCCCTCCTCCTCCAGCTCAGATACGTTCAGACTGCTGCGCTCGCCTGCTTGTTTCTTGTTTTTTTGTGTGGGACATGTCTTCTCTGTGCCTCTGTCTGGTGCAGGCTGGTGGTCCTGACCGTCCTCACGCCACCGGACTGTGGGCCAACAGCTGTTTGGCTGACCATCCTGGCAAAGCAAACATGTATACCGGAAGAAACTCCTTGGGTCATGAAAGTGAGTTAAGCAATTATTCCGCCTGAAATCACCCCGTTACCAATAATTATTAGCTGGGTCACCAATAGAGAGGCAAAAAGCTATATTTTTAAGTATATCTCTGAACCTCAACCAAAAAATAGATGTCTGGTAATCAGTCCACACGTAGACATTTTAGTTTTACAAAGTTCTACATGTCTTGATTACTCAACATTAGTACGTAACTTGAAGAAAATTGGAACATATTTTTTCTGTTAGTAAAATAACACATAAAAGATCCTCATTTACATCAATATTTTATTACTCTAATAATATGTGTGTGCCAGCTGCTGGATATGCCACCGCTACAAAGAGAGTAAAAGGTGAAGAATGCATTTTAAACTGCAGATTTTCTGAAGGTTTGCATACTCGTGCTCATGAGCCTTTGCTAACATAGACCTGAGCTCACAGAGCGGTGGATAAAGACCACCTTAGGAGGGGAGGGGCGGCCCAGGGTCGGGCTGGGGACAGGGTGCCGTGAATTTCACTCTTGACAGGAAACAGGCAGAGAGAGAGAGAGAGGGAGAAAAAAAAAGTCCTTTCACTGAAGAATGACTGGGCCCTCTGTCAGGAGAAGTGGGGGCTCAGGAGTTTGAGTGACAAAGATGCTACTGACATGCTGACAGCAGATGACCACATTAAACAAGCTCAGGAATCCAAGTGAAGGAGAACCCTGTCCTTGTTAACAAAGCCAAATTGGATTCCGGTGATGATTTCAGAATGACCTCCACGAGTTGCAGGAGCTGATGTCTCCGTGCTAAGCAGGAAAGCTGTTGTTCCCCTCGGCCGGGAGGAAGAAAACCTCCTTGTCCGGACTGATAAAAACACCACTTATCAAAATTGTCGGAGGGCAAATGAAAACATGAATGTATGTGTAAGGCAGCAGCACTTTTCAAAAAGCCAATTAGATATTTCATAAACTTGGAGAGGGCATGTCCAGGTCTTGGTGGTATGTCAGTGAGCTTTTGTAGCAAGGAAAATAGGTTACTGGAGTATAGTAAAGGAACGTGGAAAATAGCAATCCTGCATCTAGAACATAAATCCTCATGGGTCACTTACAGCAAATAAACAAGCTTTATTTAACAAAGAGTAGCGAGGTGTTCTCCTCTGAAGTGGCATCCAGGCATCAAAGGGATCCTTTAGAGCTGGAAGGTTCACTTGGTTTGCCAGAACAGTAAAGCCTACATAAATACTCCAACTTACTCTATAACCTGCTGCAACGCGATACTCCACATTTGCTGGGACGGTTCCATAAAATGCGTCCCTTGGACCACCGGATATTTTAATAACACGTGCGGAGGAAACAACTTTGGTTGCGTATCTGCTCCCCGAAGTTTGACCACCGCTCAAGCCTGATAGGAGCAAAACAATTTGTTGGTCACAGCGGTTGGTTTGAGCCTTTTGTTTGGCCTCGGACTCTTTAATAACCGAACAATTTGCACTGAAAAATGGTAACATGTGCAACGAGACCTGTGATGGTTGGGATTTTCCTGAACTTGAATGAGTTTAATTCGGCCAACAAAACCTCTACTTGGGTTTCTGGAAGACTGTGGTGGTATTTCTTTGAACTATATTAAAGCGAACCATGAGTAGAGTCAACACAGCTGATACAAGCTGAATCAGACTCTTAAGAAGTGCGGTTAGGCTTGACTCGCATGAGGAAAGATGTCCTATACAGGCCCGGGTCGGTACCTACAACACAACCCCCCCCCCACCGACTACAGATCCCTCCCCTGCTGTTCAGCTCTGTGTTTGGGCCAGCGTGGAGACCGAGGGGCTTGAGCTCTACACGTGGAATGCATCATACCCAGCAGAAGCGCCGCCTTTGTTCTGTGTGTTTTAAAAGGCTTTGTGATGATCCTGAGCCAAAATGGAAGAGCCTGGTCACAGTGCTCCTGAGAGGCCACCGAACAATACCGCAGAACCTACCTGAGTCCACTACAGTATCTGACCAAGACTGTGGACACCGGGCTATTTCAAAACCTTCAATAGGTCGCAGCTTTTTTATATTGAAACCTTGTGACACATTCTTTGATTTAAAACACTGGGTTGTCAGTATATCTGTCGTTCTTTAAATAATTTTCTGTTTCATTAAAAGGGGAAAATCTTTTTCGTTTAGTTTCAAGATACAATTGATGATCAAGAATTCAGCAACTAATTATTAAAGCAGACGTGAAGATATTATTGAACTATTGGAGCAAACGAGTGGCCTTTATATTGTATTACTGTGTTTAAAATATTTGAAAGTTATTGGAATGTAGTAGCTAAAACAACAATTTCTTTCAGAAAACACTGGTATTTGATCTAATAAAGACCCGTATGACAGTGACGTTGTATTTTCAACAACTTTTGACAGACTGGAGGGTTTATTTATGGCCCAACAAGTTCCCTGCATCAATTATGTGATTGTTATTAGGATTGAAAGAGCAAACTGGACTGACTTCACACCTCCTTTTGCTTTGTTTCCAGAAAAAGAGGCTTCATCTCCCAAACGGGCCTCGTCCGCTCCCTCCAAAAAGGAGCGCATCTCCTTCCGTGACAACCCGGTCCAGCTCAGCAGTGGCTGGGGAGGAGGCAAGAAGAGGGACAGACTGCACAAGTAAAAGAAAGGCTGAACACAATACACGCCTCGCTCTGACTTCATAGAATTATGCCAGTGTTTTCAAAATTTACGGCAACATTTTGATACCTGTGTTTTATTATTAAAGTGGTGTTTTACAAATGATGTCAGAGGTTTGGGGTGAAAAGCATTATTAATGTAGTTTGTTAATTGAGTTTGTTTGTTGATTTATGGCTTGGATTTCTTCTCTTCAAATTTAGCTGAACATTTTAGGTGACCTGAAAATGAAAAAAAAGACAGATCGGACGATGTCCAGCCCAAATATCCTCAGGGGTTCCCAGTTAGTCCGTTCTGCTCAAGTGGGACTGCCTGAGCTCGTTCGCTGTCAGCTAGCATCCAAACGTGTAAAAGGAAGTCACAAAACCTGAGGAAATGACTGTCTTTAGATCCAAATGATGACGGGAAATAAGAACCTATTAGAACCCGTGATTCAATATTTCTAAAGAAATGCTGTTTCCAAATAACTTGTTATCTTCCCCCAAAAATTTATCTCTGAGTGGACGTTTCCCCTTAATGTTTAAGTCTGCTAGCCAGAGTGGACCTTGGTATATGGCTTCTATGAGCTGAGCACTAATATTGGTGTTAGATTTAGGACTTCAGCTGTTTTCAGTTGGAAACTAAAATGACCGTGTTTGTGTATTTGTATTGGGAATTTGGAATCTGGACGGCAGTGTCCGTCCACAAAATCTACCCCACCAGGTCTGCAGTCTGAAAAATGCTAAGTTAACTGATGTCGAAAGAAAAAGTCCAAGCTTCGGGGAGGATGTCTGGAAGGAAATGCAGGTCGTCTGTTTATTTTCTTCCCATTTTTCAGTTACTCATGTCTGCAGGGTGGGTTTTAGCGTTGCCGAGCTCACGTATGGGTATTTTTGTGGCATGGTTGTGGTGGTCCTGATTTTTTTTTTGCATTTAAGTGGGGAGTGGTCCTTAAAGAACCACAGGGGAAACTATTTTTATATGTTGTGGATAAATGCCATTTTTATTTAATGTATTAGATTAATATCATAATCATTTTAAAGAAGTACATGCACATCTTGTCATCAGAGTTGATTTTTTTTCTAAAAAGGCTGCTTCTAGTTTTAATATGACATTTGTTTACTTTTGTTTTATATTAAACTTATATATAGACTTATATATTTATATTAGACTTAACCTTTGAAACTGTAAATAAATTATTACAAATCTATAAAAAAAAAGTCCCTCCTAACCTGCACCATTTTGCAAGCTTGACCTAAATGTCGGCAAATTTTTTACACAGGTTTTCTGACATATGGATTTCTCTGGGCATTATCTTTAAATCTATTTTGAAAAACAGAGAAGTTATGGACAGTTTATATTTCAATTAAACATTTTACTGGTGTGCTGTAAGGTTTTTGAACGTTTTGTGAAAAAAATCGTACCCTTCCTGGTGTAAAACTATTGGAAATGCTTAGATTTGTCAGTGTGTGTTGTCCCTGTGTGTTTGTGCACTTTCAAACCAAGATTGAATTAATCTGATACCAGCTCTGCCCAAAAAAATATTTTTTAACATAACTGTTTCTCTGAAAAAAAAAGAAAGATGTTAAAAACACACAAAAAACTAAACACATGTTGTTAATAAATCTGAGTTATTTAATGTTACAGAATGGTTTAATTCTGAAGAGGAAAGAAAAAGTCCAAAATGAATTTATTTACATCTGACTTGTTTTTATGCCTGATGACACAAGACACTGTTCCATTAGCCAAAGTAAAGAGAGAGGAAATGGACATAAACTCAGAGGAATGCACAAGCTCTCCTGGAAACGTGAACCGACTTGGTATGAAGGAGGAACGAAACACATCAGCAGACACTCAGACCTTCTGGACACCAGTGGAAGGTAACGCGGACACATTTCATAACAGAAAATCGGATTTTTCACACATTTGTGAGGCAGAATACGGGCGACGTGATGAGAGAAGATGCACAGATACACAGATACACAGATACACAGATACACAGATACACAGATACACAGATACACAGATACACAGATACACAGATACACAGATACACAGATACACAGATACACAGGGCCTCTGTGGACACGTCTTTGGATATGTTATGACACGTATTATTAAATGTACATTTTTATACCCACTTAACTTCTTGTTAGAATGCTTTTGTGCTCTTTATGGTGAAACTTTAACTAAACAATTCTAAACATTTTTTTTTTTTGCTTCTTTTTTTTGTTATGTGATGCATCTGAATGGTGAGATTACCTGAAGAATCTCTCAAGTGAATTGCAGGTGTAAACTAAAAAATGACTTATATTCGAGACGCAAAAAATGTTTTCTAAATATATTTTTTTTCTGTTAGTGGATATATATGCTGCAATCTTTATTTTTCATTAATAATAAAATAAAATAATGATATATACATTAGAAAATAATGTACAGAAGGCCTATGATTGGACATTCTGTTATTATAATGCTAATTAAGCTTTCTTTTACCTGTTTGGTTGATCATCTCTGCTCACACAGGTCACATGGGACCCGTGCTGGTTAAAAAAAAAGAAACACAAATGCCTGTTGAGTTTTTTGTATGCATGAAAGCTGGAGAAAAGAACAAAAGACAAACAAAGACAGACAAACAATCTAAACAAAGATTTAATTCGTATTCTGAAAAATCTTTTTAGGCCAAATGATCTGCAGACTCAGACTCAACCAACATTCATGAACTGGGCTTTTTTTGTTGTTGTGTGTTTTGTGGCAAGCCAAATTTGAAGACATTTGAAAACATCTCAGTGGGTTGAATTAAACCTAGAGTTGGAGTGGCTCTGGGCACCGTGATGTCATGTTTCTGCCTTCTGAAGTGGCTTGCCCTGGCCTCCCATAGCCTGGCTGGTTGCTGGACTGTGTTCACTCACATTAGGCCTGACATGATTGATAATTACATCATACATGATGTTAAAGCTAACTGGCAATGCGTGTCATTTTTAAAACGTCTCATTTTCTTTTTTTAATTTCATCTTCAACTGAAACTCGAGACCTTAACGAGGGGCTCACATCACATGACATACTGGCTCAGGCGTGTGTAGAATTCTTCTGGCCGATCAACCTGTGGTGTCCAGAGCTTTCAGCCTCCAGACTGACTATCTCAGGCCCATCAAAACCACCGTGAACTTTTCACATTTTCTCCACAGCGTGAGCCAGTCTGCCGGGTCATCCTAGAACCCCAATAAGACACCCCCCTGCTACTTAAGAGCACCCCTATTTATTTTTATTTTGGCCCTGTGGCACCGTGAGGCCCCGGGTAGCTGCGCTGACCCCGGGCCGAACCGCAGCCCGGCGGGCCCGGGTGGAGGGACCGGGGAGATGGCTTTAATTCCTCCAATAAGTTTGAAACAAAGAAAAAATCTTCCTGTTTTCGTTTTTAAAATCTTCTGCTGAACCCTGTTTGTGAGTGAAACTCAACTTTTTATATTTTATTTTTGCAGTAAGTGGACGTTTGCACTGCGTTTATAGACCTTTTTGTGGGATTTCCACCTCTGCCATGCTTCCTTTTAAGAAACCTAAATATATTCTTATAGTAAAAATAAATATGCACCAATGTCTGACCCTATGGGTGAAGATTACCCCTCTTTTTATATTTTCTTCCGACGTGCAACTATTATTTTAGAGTGCGCAAGGTGCTGGTGACAAATTAAAGAAAATATCTATCTATAAACATCGTATTCAGTCATATCTGTGTAAGTAAATGAGTAAAATGTGTTATTTAATATAAGCACCGTCATAAGCTGGACCTAATGCGTTTAACTATAGGCTGATAAAATTTTCTCAGAGCAACTTGTTCTTATATTCAATGAGGACAAACACAGACCTTTATCGTTTTCAAATGTTATTTTTCCAGGATTTTCTTTTGTGTTTTGTGACGCGTTGCTTCGTCTTTCTGGATTGAAATAAGTATAAAAACAAAACAAAACAAAATATCAGATTTAATATTTTTTCTTAAATAAAAAAGGCCATAATCAGTTTTCCTGTCCCAAAGCTCACCGTGTCAGCCTTAAAGTGGGCGTGCTCGTGCATCCCTCGTGCATCTGCAGAGGAAATCAGAGCATTCTCATAAGGATGTCGCCTTCTTTTTCAAATAAAATACAGCAGAGACAGTCTGTCTATTAAAATCCCATTTTCAGGTGCAGCTCGCCACTGGCTGTAAATTAAAGGCGCTTTTGGTCGTCGCCTCGACGTGGCCGCGCATTCCCCCAAAAACTGCTGTTTGGTTTGGATTGAGCGCGTGGGAGGAGTTGGCTTTCCATATTCAGGGAGAGGGAGAGGGAGGCTGGAGGGGGACTTTTTAAGGCTCTCCTGGTGTATCGGGACTATATAGCCGTCGTGTCCTGCAGACAGAGAAAGTGAACTCCATCTAAATGACCGCGCCGCGCGCCCTCAGCCCACGCGCCGCGGCGGCCGCTTTCTGACCAGCAGGCCGGACAAAAGCGCCCAGGATGATGGAGTACATGGAGGAGAAGTTCCCCTTAAAGAGCCAGGGGATGAAGGCCAGCGACTACTACATGGAGCAGGTCATGGAGAGCCTGGACAGCGCGCAGTACTTCAACAAGTCCTCCCCCAAGTGCGCGCAGGCCTTCGGGCTGCAGAGCAGCGAGCACCGCTCCTCTCCCTGCGGGGACCAGACCGGTGAGTGGCCGGCTGCTTTTGGAACTATTCAGCCTCTATTTTAAGGGCAGATGCTCCGTATCTTTGAGAGAGCTATAAAGAATGGAAACAACAACATTCAGTGTAGCCTAATAGTTAATTTCCCCCCCTAATGTTCTTTAATCGTCTGTTTTAGTTATTCTCCAATTTTGCCTCTGAATAATGATTTAATTTTTAGCCATTGTGTGGAAAACATTTACTTTGTGTGAATACAATATAACCTAAAATAATATGATATAATAAAATATAACATGTATTACATGTTATATATATTTGGATAATTTCTGATGTAATTTGTCCCCTAATTCCAGCCAGTTACGGCGTGCCTAAATCGGACGAAGACACGTTGCATTCGGAGCTCGGGAGGTCCCTGGACAGTTGTTGCACCCTGCGGGCGTCCCCGGTGACCAGCGGTCAGGAGAAGGCCGACCTGGACGACATGGGAGACAAGTGCGACAGCAACGTGTCCAGCAGCAAGAAGAGGAGGCACCGGACCACCTTCACCAGCGCGCAGCTGGAGGAGCTGGAGAAAGTGTTCCAGAAAACCCACTACCCAGATGTGTACGTCAGGGAACAGCTGGCTATGAGGACGGAATTAACAGAGGCCAGAGTGCAGGTACACTTCATCATCTGACACACAGAAATTAACTCTTATACACCATTAAATAAAAATGAAGGCCAAAAAGTGCCGTGCGTAATTCAAATGATTTTTTTTAATTTATCGTTTTTTTGGGGGCAAAATCCCCCCATTCTATTCTCAGTCATTCACAATTTAAATGAGGATTTTTGTAAAGAAAATAGAGTCTATCAATAATAAAATAAAGACTCCTTTCTTCAACTAGGTGTGGTTCCAGAACAGAAGAGCGAAATGGCGGAAAAGAGAGCGCTACGGGCAGATCCAGCAGGCCAAAAGCCACTTCGCAGCGACCTACGACCTGTCCGTGTTACCGCGCACGGACACCTACACGCAGGCAAGCCGCGCGCGCCCTCTCCCCGCCTCTCCGCTCCGCGCGCTCTGTCCGGGGGATCGTTCCAGAGCTGTCCGGCCGCCGTGCGTCCTTCCCGGCACGGCCTGAGATATGTCCCCCCCTTCCCTCCCCCCTTCTCCCCATTTGTCCTGGCTTATAAAGCACCCAATTTATGGGAGTCACAGCAGCTCACTGAGCAAAACCTGCCGGTGCTGCGCCATGAATCACGGGCTCTGAAAGCCGTGCACAGATAAGCGCGCGCGGACGCTGATTAGGGCCCTCGTGAGGCGTCACGTCGGAATGGATGGCCTGATATCAGATTTCATGTCGGCTGACCATAAATCTTGCTGCTTGAGCAAAGGTCAGGTACAAGATGAGGTGAGAAGAGATGCGGGGTGTCAGCTTGTTCTTTCCCCCCTTTTCCTCCATCAGAAACTCAGATTGGGCCTCTAGGTGTTGGGAGTTTTTTTCTTTTTTCGCTTAAAAAAAATCAGATATAAAATTTGCAAGCAGCAGCTCTTAATGAGATTTTGGTTCAAGTTATGAGAAATAAGCCTTTTTCAAATGTATTTATTATTTTATTAATGTATTTGTAAAAGTCTGCTGTTACGCGCTCCGGCGTGGGAGCCGCTGCTCGGTTGGGTTTTGGTCAGAGACTCTGAAGTCTGTCGGCCTTACATTTCTCCCACACGTGTTTCTGATGCTTGTCCTGGATTTCGGCCGTGCTCGTCCACGCAGCTGATCCAGATTAATGTCTTCAAATGGACGGACGCTGTTGGAAGTCGTTGGAATTTCTTGTTGTCCGTCTAAACCGGACACGAAGCTGGATTCTTGTGGCTTTCAGTGTTCCCTGTTTTTCTTTTGTTGACTGTGTGGTTTTGGCCAATGTTGCGGCTCTTTTTTAAGACTATCCTCAGTTAAATGCTGCTTTATCAGTCGCACATGTTTGAGAAAGCAGGCGTTTTTCGGTTTGCTGATTCTGTGGCGCATAAGGGGCTTCGGTCTGGTAAAAGTGGACTCCCAGTCAATACTGGCTGCTGGTTTCTTTTCCTGAAGCTCCAATGTTTCAAACTGCATGTTTCCAACTGTTTAATTTAATATACATTTCCTAGATTTAATCCAAGCCACTTTGTATTTTTACATTCAAGTAATTTAGTTTGGACCAAATATAACTAAAGGAAATAATGAATACATTAACTGGCCACTGGGTGAGTTGTATAGAGACTAAAGTGATTAGGAGTTAATCCGGCCACCATCTGAGTTTGATGTTTACAGCTGACCATATTAATAGAAAGCTTCTCTCTTGGTCCTTGGGGCTCTGACACTGGACAAAGAGGCCACGGAACCGCCTTGTCATTAATTCTGAAAATATCCTATCTCTAGATGTTCTAGGTCTGCAGGTTTGTGTTTCTCAGATTTTAAGGTCTCCCCCTTTTTAACAGAATTAACATAGTTTTAATTTCAGGTGAATAAAGATAACTCCAGCCCCCCAAGACCCCGTTAACAAGAAGTGGTAGAGATAGATAGATAGATAGATAGATTGATAGATAGATGTATAAAAAACAACCTCTCACACATCAGCTGCATCCGATTTTCTTTTTCTAGTTCCCCCTAAATAAATGTAGCCAAGGTTCACTTACATTTACTCTGTAAGCTTCTCTAGTGGCAAGTTTTTACACAATGCTACTAAACATACTTAACTTTTTATCTATCCCTGTCTAAAATAGCATATATTTATATATATAATGCTATTATATTATGCTATCATATATATATATTTTTTATTTTTTATTTTTTTAAATTTTTAATTAAATTTTTAATTTAATTTATTTATATATAATTTTTATTTATTTATTTTATTTATATATATATATATATATATATATATATTTTTTTTATTATTATTTTTTCTATTTTAATTTTAGATATAGATATATATAATAGCATTTCATCCCTTTATTTTCTCATTATGCACTACCTTTTTTAGAATAGAGGGGAAATCAGAAAGTATTCTCTACTCTTACTATTCTAACCCCCCTGTCCCACCTACAGATCCCCAACAGCCTGTGGCCCCCCCCGGCTCCCGGAGGCTCAGTGGTGTCCTCCTGCATGCTGCCCCGGGGCTCCCCCCCCTGCGTGTCCTCCTACTCGCACTCCCCCCGCCCGGCCGCCGCCGCCCCCCCCGACCACGGCTACGTGGGCTTCCCCAACCAGCAGAACCAGTTCGGCCACGTCTCCCTCAACAACTTCTTCAGCACGGACTCCCTCCTGGCCCCCCCCCCCCACCGCCCACCCCGCCTTCGAGAGCAAGCCCGAGCTGGAGAGGCGCTCGTCCAGCATCGCCGTGCTGCGCATGAAGGCCAAGGAGCACGCCGCCAACATCTCCTGGGCCATGTGACCAGTGTCCGGGAGAGCTGGATATTGTATGGATTCTTAATTTTATTTTTTACAGTTTCTGCAAAACACGGGAAGTGCCTAAAGAAAGTCATATTTAAATAAAACACACTGACATCTTCAGAAGAGATCTGCTATCTAGATCTACATCAAAAACCCAAACCACCCTCAAGAAATTCATTGTGTAAATTTGGACGTCATGCCTACGATTTATTCCTCCATGCACATTCTCATGGCAACTGCTCAAAAAACCCAGTTTCTGTCATTAAAACGCATCTTGTGACGAGAAGCCGAAAGAACCAAAGCATGACGTTCATATCATTGACCGTTTCAGGTTATAGCCCCTTACATTTGTCATTATCTGACTAGATGGACTGGCTCTGGTCACTGCAGACATTTGATGACCCCCCCCCACACACACCTCCTGATCTGTGGAGGTGAGAGCTGTTATGTGCTTTCAAAGTAAAGGTCAGGTATCCGGTGTTTGGACGGGTGTCAGAGGCTAAAGTCTGTGTCTGGTTTTATTAGTGCACAGTGTGAGTAAAGGTGGCCCAAACCAAAGTCAGTTACTCTGGATAAGCCCCCAGAGCCCCCCCCCCCCCCCCCCCCCCCCCCTCCACACCCTGGCTAAAGACCGATAAGTCTCACGATGGGGAACGAGAAAGGACTCGATCGACTAACACTTCTGGGTGCTTTGTAGCAAAGCTCGGATTTTTTCTAATTTCTGCTTTTGTTCAGCAATGCAGACAGAAGAGGCAGGTTTTGAGTTTGTGTCCTGAAATGATCTGGTGGAAACATAATAAATGAATGTCTCTTGACTCTGGTATGACTGCACTTTGCTGAGAGATGAAGTTTCATGATGAGGGGGGAGAATGTATTTTTCTTATCCATATTTAACCGGCCTAAATATAAAAACATGCAATGAACTGCTTTTACTGCTGGTCATTGTAGAAGCTGAATTGGCTTTTAAATTTTTTTTCTTCCGTGTCATAAGAAGTTAATCTGAAATTAATTCTTGCCAGCCAATTTGCTGTTCACTTTTTCCTCAGAAATTACAACTAAAAACTGCAACACTCAGCTACGAAGATAACTCATTTCAAGTTTTAAAAAGATGGAAACTGAATATTTCTGGCCTCTTTCAAAAGTTTGCTATCCTTACTGAGTGTGTGTGGGCAAACGGGAGTACAAGTGCAGGGTTATGTTCTTGTTTATGATCAGAACATGACACAATACATCTCACACTTCCCACAATTCGTCCAAGTAACTTATATTTGAAAAACAAACAACAAAAAAAAATATCATACATCTGTACACATATCACTTTGAGATTTGGTTGATGAAATATGTAGCTTAAATAGTAAATATGGCACCATACAATGCTGCAGAACTACTGGCTGCTTCTTTTTTTCTATTACTAAATTTAGGCAGCAGCATCGGAGCAGATTATCTGAACAAACTGATACCGAAAGCCTGCTCTGAGATGGATGAAGATCTCAAGCATAATGGACGACGATGAGCATCTACCTAACAGAGACAAGACAAAAAAACGCTGTTCAGTCAGAGGCTTCTTCAGGCCAGCAGCCAGAAAACAGCCAGACAGGGGGTCACTCCTACCTACAGCAGTCCTTACTAACTGTACATATTTATGTACACTTATTTATGTACATGACTATATTTATGTATGTGTATGCTTTTGAATTGAAATAATTATGACACGTTGTGCTCATTAAACTTTACAAAAAAAATGTTTATTTTTTTGTTTGTGTAAGATGATGTAATGATTTGAGTTGCTGAGATGGGCCAGTCAAGACGATATGTGTTCCTTTAAAAAAAATTCCAACTTCACTAGAAGTGCAGCTTTTATGCTGGTTATTTCTTTTTTATAAAGTGGGATTTGATGACAACAATGCAATATTAAAAAAGAACAAAACAACTGGAAACATGGATTCAGCTCTTCTGGCGCTGTTAATCCACCAATTGCTTCTTCTTGACGACCCATCTATACAGGTTTTTTACTAAACAACCACTCCTCGTCCTTTAATCTACCGGCCTGACCTGTAATTGGGAGCATGTCTCCTTTCTCCGCTGTTTCCTCAGTGACATCATCCTTTTGTTTGGGGCTGAGTTCACAGTCGGTGGTGGAAAACACTCTCAGGGAAACCCTGTCCATAGGGCCTGTGGGCTTGATTCGATTAGGCCTGTAACTTGTGTCAGATGTTTTGGTCTGGAAACAAGTTTGTTTCCTTGAGGTACTTCCTGGTTGCTGCCATTCAAAAGCACAACGAGAACTTTATCTACACGCATCCTAAAAACCAAGACTTTGATGCCGAAGTACTCGTTTGAAGAGGAATGGATGTGGCTCTCAATGATGATTTTAAACATAAAACAATTGTGATTTTAGGGTATCTTTCATACAATGCATCTCCATTTTGTCAAATGTAACATTACTATGCAAGTCTAATTAAATGATGGAGCAATTAAAATGCAGATAAGAATTTTAAGATAAAATATTTAAGTATTTGGAATAAAAAAGAATGACTTTGTTGTACTTTTTTTTTCAGAATACATTTTTGTGTTACTTAATGTGTAAGGGAAGAAAAGAAAAGAAGCATGGTATCGAAAACATTTGTCCAGAAGCACTTCATGTTTACTTTGGAGCAAATGAATCTTTTAAACATCTTTCGGACAAACAGACAAAAGCAACGGAAATTCAAACATTTCTTCATCATAAGAAAACTGTATTTTCCAACAACTGTTTAAACATTTAGTTCATTTTTCCTTTAGCCATTTTCTATGAAAGAGAAAGTTTGCTTTAAAAGCCCAGGCAAACATTTGACCGTGTATCCATCAGTCTTTCCCTTCCTGTGCCGTTATTGCATCCATCCGTCACCTTTCCTCCCCTCATTCCATCATCTACAGCTCAGGTAACCGGATATCTGTAGTAGCTTTTTCTCAATTTTGAAACTCTATCTTCACTGCTGTAAGATATTGAAAAGTAACACAGACCACACATTGTTAGCTGTAGGACGTGGCGAGCTGTGGGTTGGGAGGTTTATTGCAAACAAAAGCACTTCGGGGCTTTGATTTGACAAGCTCTGAAAAAACCTGACAGAATTGTTGATACTCACTGAGTAGTTTCCAAAAAATATCAGTATGAAAGCATTAAAACAAGCATTTTTGCTAAAAACGTTAGGCCAGATTTGTCCTTCATACTTTTGAACTGGTGTTGGACTCTGAAAAAACGTGTTTTTTTGCAATGAAAAATATGGAGTAATGCGACATTGCAGCTCTTGAGTTGATTGTTTTTCTGACTTTTAATTCTAGCAACAATTGGTTGCTTTTATTAAATTATGAGCTCCACTTGGTCCTACAAGTAGTGTGACCAAACACAATGTTTTCTCAGTCACTTAACCCGAACCCAAAGGGACAACCTCCAAGCTACAAGAGGGAAGTATGTCTCAGATAAACATTTTCACTTTGAAACACACTTTTGCAATGAGTCCTTGCATAAGTTGGCAGATAGCATGAGTTAAGCTCTTTAATACAACAATTAGTATCTTTCCTTTTCAATAAGCCATTTCACCAACAAGATGACGTGCTTACTAACCTGGCTAAGGTTTTTTTTTAAAATCATGGTGAAGACAACAATAATTTTGGTATTAAGATTTAATCAGAATTCTTATACTTTACATGCAGTTGCTCCATCGGCCTGTAAAACACAAATCCATTTTGGGACCTACTGTATTTCTAAGTCTTGGTTGACTTTATTAAAACCCAATGCCCCATTGGTTTGATTTTCAGAGAACAGTTGTGTGTTACAATATTTATGTAGAAATCCGTTGCTCACACAGAATTAGAAAAAAATCCTTATGAAAATTGATAACTACATGCAACCCTGAGTAATTAATCCAAAGTAAGTAAAATTGCCTTGGGTAAAAATCTCAGTCACGCAGTCAAAAGATGTCAGTTTCCGACATTAATCCCAAAATGAGCGTCTCTCACCTGGTTATGTATGAAGATGGATTTTTGTCTAAATCAAAAGTAATGAGTCCAAACTAGGTCAAATTGTTTTGTAAGTGTTCTTTATCACATTCCATGATCTAAGAGTAAAAACTCAGTTGTACTGACTAGCAGTCAAATGATGCATGACGAGCAGTACTGAGCACTTTGAATTGTCTTATATACAAAATGTGCTATAACAAAAAAAGAGACTAGCCTTGCATTATGGTATTAACTCTGCTGTGACCCAGTCAGGAGTCTGAAGAGTTATTTTATATGTATAGCCTGGAATCGTCATCTATAAGGACATGAGGAGGCTGGAGGGGTGGTAGTGGAACATCACTAAACTTTAGTTGAATACAAAAGTCCTATTCTGTTTTTCCATTTAGTTGCAGGCTAACATAAAGCTTTACACACTTGGGACACTGAGGAAGAGACGCTCACAAACAGAGTTCTGAAGGACTCGGTAATGGGAGCGAAACCTTAATTCTCCATCTGAAGTTATAGCTTTATTTAAACACTGTGACAAAACCTCATCTGATAAATAGATGTGGAACTAAAACTCCCATCTACCCTTTTGGTGCGTCCATCAGCCCTTTCCCAGCACCCCTGTGTCTCTGCGGCCACGCCCCTCTGCCTGATCCTTTATCTCTGCCGGGCAGCGGTCAGCACACATGAGCCGGTCAGCCAGACTCATCCCGTAACCAGCCGTCCACTGTGTGTGGAAACGGAGAGGAGGGGAAGAGCCAGAGAGCTCCCGCACACCAGATCCATCACCAGCTCCAATGGGTTTGACCCTTCCAGGTTAACCGCAGCCATTAATACCAGCGCCCCCCCCCCCACAGGCTCACGTGGGGGAGGACGGGCCTCTGCGTGTGCACGCACGTGCACGCACGGCTGTGGATCAAACGCTCTGCTGGCAGCCGGCTGAAAAATGGAGCCGGTGGTCGTTCCCCAGCAGAGATCTCCACTGTCCACTGTTATTTCTCCAATCCCTCAATGCTGACCATCCACTTCAACCTCTCCTTAGAGATATTTCTCACAAGTCTTCTCCCCGACGCTTTGCAATGTTATTTGATCATTCATGTTTCTGTGGAGGCAATTAAATAGAATAGTTTGATTCCAAGATGTGGATAAGACTAATTCCATGAGTTATAAACTTATGTAAGCTACTGAATGTAAATGACTCTCTTCTTTGAAATGAGGAAATATGACAACATTTTATCCTCATCTTAACAACATGACCTGAATCTGCAGAACGGAGTAGCTTCTTAGCGTTTAATAAAGCTTGGCTTTAAGTTTTTAAGGTATTCTATTTGTTGGACTTACTATTGAACATGACTTCAATAGTCATGGACGAGTGCTTTAGTGAGTGAGACTTTTTAGGGGTTCGGCAGCTGAATTTCAGAATGAAATTTAAGAGCTAAACAGAACTTTTGTTCTTGTTCTTGCCACTTCAAGAACAGCTAGACATTTTTGGTTCTCACACAGTAAAATTAAACCTAACAAGTGTTATTTGTGATTAAAAAAAAGCTGTCCGAAAATACTTCCCATTGCTAAAATGTTATGCAAAACCAACAATTTTGACACAAACTAGTAGGTTAGTTTTGGAATAACACACTGATTACAGCTTATTACATAAAAAGAAACAAAAAAAGACTGTTCATATGAGTGGTGTGTCAGTGTACATCCTATTTCACTTTAAAAATGCGGTATTAAGGTGTTTCTTACATGAAAATAAAAAAAGATTAAAAAAAAAAATGTTATTTTCAGGATGTCTGTGTTATGTTTTGGTGCAAAAATGTATTTTTGTCTAGTGGAAAACCCTAAAATAAACTCAGAACAAATTCAGCAATCTTAAAGTTGAAGAGCTTTTTTAAATAAAAAGTTGCTTGGTCATAAGTGTGAGCACTCCTATTGATTAAAGTAGTAGCAGTAGTATACTAACTAGTATAGTAGTGATTAATAGTAGTATTTTATAAAGAAGGCCTTTTTAATGGTGTGAGTTGTATAAGGTGTATGATACGCTACAACTTAATAGATGTGAGTCTACTGGATAAAACCTAAAAAGACATATTACCCTTGAGACATATTTCTATTTTAACACGGACATTTTTGAGGCAGAAAAGAAATGATGGTGAAAGATGGAATCATATTTGAAATATGTTTTCAGTTCAGATGTTGGCATGTAGAACACATTCTGATATTTGTTAAGGCATACAGGGGTACCTATCGCATGACACTAACTGTTTTCTTTGGGATTTTTCTTTTGGCCCGTAAACTTTTAAACTCTACTTTTCATAATCACTGTTGATCTTATCACTATTGTAGGACTTTTGTTGTTGCTGTTATTCTAGCAACAAGGTCAGTGTTAAAAAAATGTTGTGCAACATGTTCTTTTTGCAATACTGTTTTGACTATTTCCCCCTTATTTTTCTACATTTCTATCACCTGCTGTCCTTAAAAACCTTGATAATCAAAAGCACACTATATAACTCCACTGATCATTGAACATGTTCGATTATTTGAACAGACATCCTCAGTTTTTAATGATATATCAAAGATTAAAAACTGACTTCAGTTGGCACTGACCCAATAGTTGAAATTCTTTGCCAATTTATTTGAGTGAGAATATATCATTAACAAAATAAAGCGCGTCTTGTTGTTTTCAAGGCTTCTCAAAATCTAAGTGCCAAAAAACTCCCAAGGAATCAGGGAATGCAGCCAAAAATGCCTTTCAGGAGGTCAGCCCAGGGAGGAAGTGGTCCGCGGCGGGTCAGAGGGGACGCACCAGAGGCTATTAGAGGCCTGTGGCAGGATGCCTCACAAATCCAATTAGCTGGGACTGGATCTAGACTTTCTGCTACAGACTGTCAGTCAGAGAGCAGCGAGCAGGTGTCGAGTTACCGGGGACGACTGAGTGAAAGTGTGGTGTTAAGTCTGTGCTAATCCTTATTTGTATGCAGACACTTCGGTGGATGTTCTCTCTGAACATTGGTGTGTGCTAACGGCATCCTGGTGTTGAAGTCCCTTGGTGAATGTAAGTCCAATCCGCCGTAACCAGGGAAGAATTTCGCTGATTATTACCAAATCACTGATGTCATCTCCCCGCTGTGCACGAGGAGGGCCGGCCACGTTACAGAATCATTAAACTAACATCCGACAGCGTCATGTCGAAACATTAAGACTTTTTCTGTGACTAAAGAGAACACGTAGCTCAACTTTCCTCTTATTTTCTAAACACCGAGTGGGAGGTGTTCTTGTGTTTTTTCAATTTTTTTAATAAAAAAAACAAGTTTTTTTTTCTTTTTTTTTTTTTCTTCTAGTTTTTCTAAGAAGGTTTTTTTTAAATCGAGGACAAAATCCTGAGACACCAGTGGAGTCAGTGTAAGTCCTCTGCAGGTGAAGTGACCTGTTTAACTCCTCCTCTCTAACAGCCCCCTGCTGTTTTCCTTTTCTGCTCCAGTGGAAGTGGATTCATAACGAAGGTCCACAGAGGGAAACACACGGCTCCTGGCACAGAGACAACCAACTGGACTCCTGAAGCAGGATTACATTTTCACTTCTGAGTCAACCACTCTCAATTCTATTCACCTGTCTCTGTAACAGCTCTGGAAATGGAGAGAGAGCTCACTGGATTTGACTGGTGTGTTTAACCTAAAGTTCTGTGTATATGTTCCAAACATTAAAGAGACTTACACATTCTCTGGGGTGGCATGGGTGTGTGTGGTGGTTAACACTGTCGCCTAACAGCCAAGGGGTTCTGGGTTTTTAGACACTGGGGGCCTGGGTTCTGGGTTTTTAGACCCTGGGGGACTAGGACCTTTGTGGGTGAAGTTTTTCTGTTCTCCCTGTGTCTGTGGGTTCTCTCCAGGGTCTCTAGCTTTGTTCCCACTGTACAAAAACACACGTTAGGTTGGTTGACACTCCACTTTTCTCCCAGGAGTGTGTGTGGTTGTTTGTATCTGTGTGACCCTGCGATGGATTGGTGAATTGTCCAGGGTGTACCCCACTTCTCACCCTTGGTGAGCTGGATAGGCTCCCCCCCCCCCTGCGACCCCTTTTGGTATATGAAATGAATGGATGGATACATTCACCAGCTTATTAACAGATTTCTATCTATGACGGTGTACTTGCTTTGCATGAACATGAAATACTAGCCAGAGGAAACTGCTAATGGTAGTTTTGTCCAATCAAATTAGCCTATTAATTGAGGTGTGTTTAGTTTTTAGACAAGAAGGAAAACAATTTATGCATGGTAGTTGCTTTCATTGATCAACACCAGGACTATATTTTGTGTGTATTTGTAGTATTTATCGTCAGAAGCTGCCTGAGTGTGAAGAAAGAAGTAAAAGGCAAAATGCTGAAGTGTGGTGTATGTTTTCATTTGTGTGTCTTTATGTCCCAATAAAGCTTTTAAATCAGGTTTAAATCCAGTTCCCCCCGCAACCCCATTAGGGAATAAACGGAAACGATAATGGATGCGTGGATGGATGGATAGTTTGTTGTTGTATTTGGGATTGCTGTATTGCTGCATGACATAATTTGGATCAAAATTTGAACACTTTACACACTGAGACATTGAAATTAAACAGACTAAATGGACTAACTCTGACGGGTTCTGTTTAAAGACTTTTTAAGACTATTTCAGACGGAGAAATTGTTGCTTCAGACTGTATCCAAAGAGAGATTATAATATCTGTAGAGAGACTATTTGATATAAATGAGAAAATCATTACAATAATCACTTTTTTAAAACTAAGCTACTTCAGAAAATCAAGAATCTTTATTTACATCGATATCTCTTTGCAGTATGGAATAAATAAGTATTCTGACATGCTTAGTATAACTTAAGGAGTCTGAGTATGTTGCACTTCAGAGGTGTCACATCCATCCACCAGAAAAAAAAACAAAAAAACCTGTTAAAGCACGGTTTAATAAAAGCAGCTCAGGTTATGAGAAGCTGCACTTTTTATCCACTGAACTCACACCACAGAGCAGGAGCTGTAATCCCGTTGCCTCCACAGAGATGAATGTCCGCCCCACATGAAAGCTGACAGGGAGAAGATGGCCCCCACTGTGTGGCGTCCAAACCCACGGTGGGCCGTAATTCTGACACCACTTTGTTTGCTTTAAGTTCACATACGCTATAAATATACATGGCATTATACACACTCAAACGGAGGTAAAAGCTGTACTCTCATTCCTGGCTCATACAGAGAGGGAAGAACGTGTAAATCCCATTTGCACAGGAGCAGTAGTGAGACCAAGCCCATATCTGAGGAACTAAATTTACAGATAAATGGAGCCAGAATCCAGCAGGTCTCAGAAATCAAATATATAGGACTAATACTTTACACTTGAAAAGTGTCCAGAGTAACAAAAGCAAACTTGTACACATTCAAACTGATCAGAGATTACCTACCGTTTCATGCTGCTCACAGTTTTGTGCACTCCATGATCTTTTCACATCTAAGTTACTGCTTTAGTTCTTGGTCACAGGCCACAGTCACAGACCACTATCAAGCCTCTTCAGATAATATACAATAAAGCTATACAAATCTTAGATAAAAAACCAATCAGGTCTCATCACTGTGTTAGTCTGAACAATTTAAAAATGCTAAACTTTGAGAACTTTGTCAAATTTTCTCAGTTCAAACTGGTTTACAAATGCTTGCATGGTCAGGCCCCTGAGGTTCTGAGTGACTGTAGTTCCCTAAGAGCTGTGGGCTAGGGTAACCCTAACCCTAACCCTAACCCTAACCCTAACCCTAACCCGTCACAAGAGGAGCTCACAGTGGAAACTGTCCAGTACCCAGACGCAAGGGAGAGTCAAACTGGGTCCTTTTTAAACAAAAACTTAAAGACTTTTTATTGAGTGGTCAGACATGTGGACATTAATAATCTGACTGACCTGATCTTGTATTTGTGATGTTTTAGTGTGTGATTTGTTCTGTTGTGTACAGTCACTGTGTTTTGTGTAAAAGCCTAACTGGGGACAGGCACTGAGAATTAGCCTTAGCTAAAATGTTGTAGTGTGTGACATGTTTCATGAAACATACTTGTCCCTATCAAATAAACGAATAAATAAATTTGATATAAGTGCATATAAGACTACACTTTTATGGACATTATCCTTTATTCTTACAATGGTACTGAATCTTACTATGCCATTTACTTATGCGCTATCTATCTTAATTGTAATTCTCAAATGAATTGCTGTTGGTTTGAGATTATTGACACGTGTGGCTTTTTGTTTGGGTCCACTAGATGGCAGCATATAATCAATTCCAGACCAAACAACACTGCTGACCATTAGGAGGAAATCACCACATGCACAGACTGTGGTCAGAAATTGACCAGAGAGCTTGGACATCAATAGTAAGGGGAACATGTAGCACTAATTGGTAGAAAATTCTGTCTTTCCTAGATAACTGTCATTCATTAGTCTTGTTCAGTACTGCAGAATCCACATTATAAATACATTTGTATATTAGGATGTGTCAGGTAATAAAGATGTCACTTTAGAATGGTGAAAGAAAACATAATTGTATCTGTAAAAACTCATCACATTCTTCCTCTCACTGCAGCCGTTGTCTCTTCTTCCTGTAATTCTGAGGCCACTCACGTCACTTGAGTCTGAAGGCAGACGCGTCGGGTCGGCTGTCCTTTTATTTTCTGCAGGAGCGATATTTCTCTGAAAGCATGCCACAAGTGCCTCTAAAACCACTTAAGGACAGTTGGGGGGCACCAGGTGGGACTTTGCACCACTCTTTCTTAACTTTTTCATCAGAGAGTGTAGAGGACAGGAGAGTGCTGGCATTATGACGGGGCACTTAGTCTGTAAAGTCAAGACAAAAAAAAAAGGAGACATGAGTGAACTTCAACCCCGATAAAAGAAAAGGTGGCAGTAACACCTGGATGGTGGTGGAGAGGTTGTTGTGATCAGATGTTTAAAGCGCTTTTCTACAGAATTTTTCAATGTTGGACTTATATCTTCCCCTCTACCTGGCCTTATCAGAGAACAATTCCAAATATTGCGAATAATGTTGGACAACTTTAGTCATCAAAGGTCAATTTTAACCATGAAAAGCAACTTTGTCAACCTCTTGACATAATCCTTCATAATATCTTCCTTTTTAACTGGACCCTTTGTCATCTAGGATCTGTTATCACAGTTGTATTTTCAGTGAGAACCTATGCCTCAAGGAGGTTAAAGTGCGCTCTCTTTGAAATCAAAAGGACAAAATAAAGCAATAAAGCGGTTCTAATTGATGCTAGTATGTATAGATTATTAGGGATTAAAGAGGAGGCTGATTCAGGCCAAATCAAGATCACAAAGATGCTACATGACCATGCTTACTGGTGATGAAAGGAGACATTTTTGTTCACTCAATTAGAACCCAGGCAGGAATTTGTAGTATAGTGGGCACAATTTTAACTGCTCAATGTGACCTGCTGCCTCCTGGTGGATAAAATATGCAATCTGGCAGTAATAAAAAAGGTAGGATCCTACAATTCTGGAACTCTTACAGGTTGTTCATTGAGGGCAAGAAGTTTGAGATATGACAAACAATAACTTCATTTAACTGTTGAATATTTCTGAAACTTGCGTAACTAAAAATAATGAACACAAACAAAATATCTGCTTAAATAAGTTTCCTTATGCAATTAGGTTGATCTAAATGTCTTCTAGTGTTTTTTCTGTTGGCAGAAACATGGTTTATAATGGATTATAAAACTAAATGAATTTTTCACCTGAGAGAGTGCCAACAGTTGTTGACTGCTGTGTCTAACATTTGGAGAAAGTGCAGACAAAATAGGAAAGGTTGTAAAAGGAACAGATTGACCAAGCAGTTGTCAAAGAATCAGAACAGAAAACACAAAGAAACTATGTACCTAAAATAGGAAAAAATCTGAATGCTAAAAATAAGCATACTAAATTCATTCATTACTTCCACTTATCTGAGGTTGTGTTGTAGGGCCATACCCAATACGTTCCCAAGCTGGATGAGACATATAATACCCACATTTAGTTCTGTGTCTGACCTGAAAACACACTTTGATGTCAGGAGGCATCTTAACCAATGCCTGAACCACCTCAAATGACTCTTTTTGACTCCTTAAAGATAATGGAATGTAACCCTTCAAAAGAAGACAACAGGGCTCAAATTGTCTCAGGAAAAAAAAAAGACACTGTTGAGAGTGAGGCAGAAATGATATTCAGATATAAATCATCAACCTGTCAACATGCTTTGTACAGTGAAGGTGATGCTGGAACTTTTGCTTGGTGCTGGTCCCAAAAAACCCATGAAGATGGTTATCTCCCAAAAAAAAAAAAAAAATCCTATATGTGTTGCCACCAGGTGAAGGGCCAGAGGAGATGGAGGTATCAATTGACCAATAAAGTTGTAGCCTGGCTGATGTAGAATTATGACTGATGTATTATGTAATTCCTAAATAAGTTCAAAATGTCATTAAAAGCAGAACAAAAACAGCACAAACAATATTAATTCAGAAAGTGAAAAAATAGAATAATTTAACAAAAAAAGTAAATATAGGGATTCTTATATAAACATGGACTCTTTTCATGTCATGTTTATCATAAATGTCAAATGATCCTGTCATCCATGTGTCACATGTGTATTTCAGGCCTTTACAACAGTCCAGAAAAAAGAGGAAGAGTGAAGCTTTTACAATTTTGTAATGCTATTTACACCTATCTAACATTTGCAGATTTGGGTTTTACATGTTTAAACCAATACAAGTACAAGCCTGGAAAGCCGAATATGTCGCCCTAAAGTCTCACTTTTCTGTGTCAGTGCCTCTGAACATTATTAACATAATTCTTGTTTTTCAGCACAATAGTGTTTTAAACCGTCAAGCAATTTTTGTTAACGTAACTTGTAGTTTAGTACTCGACAAAGCAGTTTTTATTCTTTTCCACATGATTGTGTCAGCTTTTGATGAATATTAGAACTTTACACTTCCAACTTAGGCTTGCTAGCATAAAAATGCCCCCATGCTTTGTAAACTGATTCACGATCTTATGCATAATGTAAAAAGACAAATTCAGAAATGTCTTTAAATCTTAGAGTAGTATTATCCTTTTTTTAGAACAATTATATTACTCATGCTTTTCCCCCATCAAAACTAAATCTCCTGCCCCTCTTTGCTACTAAAATACTCAGCCTTTTAAGATACTGCCTTTGTATCAAATCAGGATTTATCCATCCATTAACATAATCTATCGTAGGGGAGAGTGGGGTAAGATGAGCCAGTGGGTAAGTTGACCCACCCCTTCTAACTAGGTAACCGTTCACATGTTTTGTCATGTGACCATAAATTCAGGAAGCACCAATCATTTCCATCTTGCTGTGATAAAGACAAGCACATGGGAGAAGGGGTAAGTACTTTTTTACACAAGAAACTGTTTTTTGCCTGTTTAAGTAAATTTACAGCATATCAGGTAAAATGACTGTTATATCAAAGCAAATTTATCTGGGTCTAAAATAATATATTATACTTGTTGGTGATTTTATTACGTATAAAATCATGTGAATCACTTCACTAAAGATTAGCCTGAATTTCTAAGCTAGCCCATCTTTTCCAAAATGGTGGCTATGGGGCAAAGTGAGCCAAAGGCTATGGGGTAAATTGAGCCAATGGTTCAACTTACCCCACCACAAGGCAAGCACTCTCAGACGTATAAAATAGTATTTCTTTGAGTATACTCAACTGGTTTGTCAAATGTTTACCATTGTAGAACAGGGATCATGCCAAGAACCTACAAGAGAAAAACAAACTGGGGCTCAACACCCCTTGAAGTGCCGGAAAGAGCAGCCAGTGATGTCAAGGCTGGAAAGTCCATCAGATCAGTGAAAAAAGAGAGAAATAATGACAGGTCAATATTGAGGAGATTCATAAAGAAGAGGGAGGTGAAGCAAGTAAAAGCAGCAGGGTACAGTGGAACAGCAGAAGCAAGGAGAGTATTTTCAGAGGAGATGGAGAAGGAGCTAGAAGACCATATCAAGCAGCTCGCAGACCAGTTCCATGGCCTTACACCAAAGAAATGCCGGGAACTGTCATTAGAATTGGCAATCGGTAGGAAGTGCAAGAAACAACATAACTCAGTAGGTTGGCATAGACCAATTTAAATCGCAGTAGAAATCAGCTCTGAGGAGAGTGATGTTGCCATCCCATTTGAAGACACTTCTGAGCACGAGAGTTCCAGCGATGAAAGAAGTGAACCAGATGTCTCAGATCTGGTAGTTGGTGACTTTGTCATCGTAAAATTTGCATCCAAATGCAGAAGCCACCATTACATTGGCTTGGTTGACAGCCTTGCAGGCAACGAAGTGAGTGCCAGATTTCTGAAAAGAATCCGAGGGATCACTGGCAGTAAGAAACCCATTTAAGGAAAACGATGAGGAATCTTTCCCACGGAGTGATGTGCTGAAGAAGCTACCTCAACCTCAAAAGGTTGGAGGAACTGCAAGGAGGGAGCAACAGTTCATGTTCCTCTGCAACCTTGACAGTTGGAATATTGAATAGTTCTTTTGATTAAATGGTTTTGAAACTAACTGGTGGTTTGTTCTCAGAAGTTCAAAACTTTTAAAACTGTTTGTTAGCACAATATGCTCATGTTTACATTTTAAAACCTAGAGGGTCAGTTTACCCCAAGATGGCTCAATTTACCCACTTACTTGGTTCAACTTACCCCTAACCTGGGGCAAGTTGAGCCACAGGAGCACTTTTTTTTGAGAAGTCATTATTTTGGGCAGCTTTGTCAGAGATGCATTCTGATAATTTCATTTGATAGGAGACATCCTAAAATAAAATAATATGTTTTCATTCTATTTCTGTGTCATTTTTCCTTACGTCCAGAACAACATAAGTAAAAAATGGCTCATCTTACCCCACTCTCCCCTATATCTTTTTAGTTTTAACACCATCACAAGCCTTCATTTGAATACATATCAGATGCTTGAAATAAAGAAATGGACCTATAACGAATTAAAGATAGACTTGGTTCATATTTGAGATAAGAATAAGATGCAAAACAATAATAATACTGAGAAGAATAATGATGCTTTTAGAGTCCACATCTTCGGAATCTTCCTTCTGAAATTAGATGTTTAAGGCAGACTGAATACAAAAGAAGGCCTAGGGCTGTTGTTTGATTTTAACATGATGACAAAAGCATCTCTAGGTAGTTACTTCCATTTTAAGTGAGCAGAGAAAAAGTATTTCTCCTATGCACACAGTGTCTTGTTATCTTGTTAAAAGTGTGAAAGTCTCACCTGGTGGGAGGCCACCAGTCACAGTCTGACATTTTACACGGACTTGTAGGCTGTGTGCCACAAGTGGCAGTAGATTTATTTATTAAGGCTCTGACTCCTAACAAAATGGAATGCATTGTTAGCCGTTTTGCATGTTATTTCCAAAGTATTTGCCTAATTACCTGTGATGAATAGGGCAGCCTTGGCTTTGGAAGTAGAGAAAATCTTCCATTCAAAAGAGGTTGAGCCATCACTCATAAGCTGACGTGTGCTGGAGCAAGACAGAAACATTTCACATTGAACTTGCAATTGTCAGTTGCCCTAAATATAGAGACTTCAGTAGATCTTTTCAATGTGCTTTTTAAAAACTTGTTATGATTCTATATTTTTGAATTACCAAGAGAGTGTCGTGGAGGACAACATTTTTTCGCTTTCTGTCTCTCTATCAATTCAAACCTTGAAACATCTTTAAAAGTTGCACTATTTTTTCCTTTAACATTTTCTCTAATGAAGTAAATAAATACCATTGGAATCATGTCAGTGTCATGTCTAAAACCCCCCCACAATTGATTGGATAACTACAGCGTGACAGAAATGTCTCCATTGTTAAATAAAAAATGGAAATTGCTATCTTAAGAGGATACATTTAAATGGTTACACCATCAAAATACAGTTATTTTGTGTCTCATAGCAAATGCTAATATGATAATTGTTGCTTGGAATTCGACCATGTCCAAAGGTTAGATAAAAAAAACATTTGTGGATTAAATAGTAACATATCAATATGAATCTTGCTCATTTTTGTTTTAGGTCTAACAGCCAGGTGTCGTACATGAGTGAATTTCAGTATCCCTGCACACATGCTAAAAGGTGGAAATAATAAGTTGTTTTTGTGATTGTACTGATAGAAAAAAATTAAACAATTACATTTTTAACATTTGCAAGATGCAAATACTGCACAGACATATAAAGCCAAGAAATTACATGAAGGAAATAAAATGATGATATGTGTAAAGGGATTATTTATGGTATGACTTATCTGACTTTTTGGGATCGTCATCTTCGATCTTAGTTTTAGTTTGGCTTCTGTGCGTAAGGCTGTGATGTACAGCAGAATAGATTAAGATGAATCACCAAGACATGGTTCTTGGATCAGTGATTACTTCATAATCCATCTTCAGCCCAGATGAACAAAGTGGGAGAAAAACATTACTGAACGATGAAAAGACACGAAAATAATGCGATGCAAAATGATGCGTTAAAGATGAGCTCCAAATGGATACCAAAACAAGAAGTTTGGAGGGAAAATCTGCAAAGCTATTACTTTCATTTTGGTTTGACTTGCTAGCAGACCTTTTTATTATTTAATTGGAAACATTTTGATATTTTTCGGTGACAAAAAGATTTTTTTTATTTTTTTATTTTTTATGTTTTTTTGGAATGTTTTTTGGAAGGTAGAATCATGCATCCCATGCTTAATCCATTAACCTGTAAGATGTGGGTATATCCAGATTGTTGCAATCACAACCTAGTCTCAGGAAAGTAAAAAGAAATGGATAAGTGGATAGATAGATAGATGGATTCATGAGGATGAACAGGAACGACCTGAAGTGTATTGTGCAAAATCTTATGTGCAGAACACTCCCCGTGGGTATTATTCCACTAACAGAGTGGTGTCAGAGTATCACCTTATCAGCTTAAATGAAGGCTTGCATGGCTGTAATTCTTATGAACTTTGTTCTTTTGGGAAGATGAGGGATGTATCTTGTGTCGCACTACAATAGTTGACATTCTTTATACATCTAACAGATGTGCCTATTTGCAACTTGCCCCCTATATCTATCTAGCCTTTCTCTTGTCACAGATTAAATGGCAAGATCAGGTTCTGTCCAGCACCACAGAGCTTTTCTTTCTATTTTTTCATGTCATACATAAGATACTTTATATAGAAAAGTATACTTAGCCCAAAATCTTCACGCAACCTTAACAAACACGATTCAGTTAATAGCATTTTAATGGTTTTATGATTCATTGACATGCATAAAAATGGAAAGCAACATTTAGAATCTCATCTCATGGCCAATGTGATTCCCCAAGAAACTTCTATTGTAGTTATCTGAGCTACATTTAATCAAGCAGAAGTGAAATAGTTAGTACAAGCCCATTGCTGAGTTAGCACTTTCTGGGATTCACATTGAATTGGAAACATTTTGACATGTTCATTGTGAATTAAATAAAAAAAATATCACTCAGTGTTCAATTTTATTCACCATAATCCATATCTTCCTTCAAAGACTGATAATTTATTTAATATCAACATGATCTCAGAAGCTTCATCACCAGGGATTCTAAGGTGTCAAATCTTACAGAACTAGTTTCAAGGCAGTCATACCGATATGTGGAAAATATGCCTCAATCCAGATCAGAGCTTGTGGGACAAATGATTAGGGCTAAGAAATTAGATTACACCATAAAAGAGAGAAAACTTTTAAATGTGTATAATGTGTGGACCGAAATTTATACTGACTTCCAATATGAGCTTCCATGAAAGCCATACATTACAGAAACAAGTTTCCTTTTTCAAACAGTGGCCTCCTCTACCCTGTCCAAAAACATCAATGATAGGTTCATTGATGATTTTCAGTTGACTTTTTGAGTATGGGTGGCCATCTGTCTCTGGCAGGCTGGGAACCTGTCCAATGTGAGCCTGATGTCAACTGATGGGAGCAAGGACTGACTCCAGGCCTTCAGGGATCCTGAGAAGGATATACAAAGTAAGGGACTTGATGAATGAAACAACAGGATGGTCTGCTTGATAATATTTTCATTCATCTTTCTTTTCTGGCAAATGTGCCCCTTTAAATAAGTGTAACTGGGCAAACCCAGAAAGAATCCTCTGTTTATTGTACTTATTTTCAAGGAATACTGTCTTTTCTTTGCTTTTAAGCATTGTTTTTACAAGGACATACAAAATTGAACTAAATATCTTTATATATGTCTATTTTCCATGTTTTTTTTTGTTTTTCTTCTGTCACAGATTTGAAATCTATCTTATCCCGTTCACAAATGTTGTTAACAAAACAATGGCACTTGAAAAACAAGTGGAGGGCTCAAAGTTTAAACAGGAAAATGTTGCGTGCTGTTGTGTGATGATATAATTAGCATCTATCGCCCCTGTGCTGCATCTAAGATCAACATTTCCACTTGATAGATTATCATTTAAAAGGCTTCTATTCACATACATAGGTCTTTGCCAAGCTTGTAAGAGCTCAGCTGCAGTGTTGGCTCCCAGAGGGCCATCCTCCGTAAGGAGAAAGCAGTCCATTAAGATTCAGCAGGAGACTCAGGAGTGGATGGTTGGCTCTTTTGATTATGTCCTCACATTATTGATCATTAGTAATGCAGTAGTTTAACGCATTTCTGTGAATAAAGCATATAAATTGCATGATCCAACAAAGTGGTTTTTACTGTGATTTCGGCAAAGAAAAGAAGTTTAGGTTTCTTTAAATTCAAGATTTTATATATTAAATCTTCAAGGTGACTGATATAAAAAAGAGTCACAAACCAATTAAAACAACCAATTTTGAACTTCTTATATCGCTGCTGTTTATATTGTCAAATTCTATTTTGATATCAAAGACACTTTGAAGTATAAGTTAATGGATCCAGAGGTACCTCAATACAATTTCTCAACACATTACATAATTGGATTTAAAATTTTATTTGCCTTTGAAGGATAACTAAGTGCATGAAGACTACACCAATATCCAAAGCTGATTTAAACTGGAAAAGTGATTTTGTTAATCTTTGTCTTTTTTTATTATAACTAAATGGATTTCAGTGTCTTGAAAAACAAGACTATGATGGTCATCTGACATGTTCATTGGGTACAAACTAGCAAAAAAGCTGCATGACTGAGTATTTGAAGTGTGAACATGGTTATCTAATCTAATTATGAGAGAGGTTGGCAGCGTATGAAACATATATGAGAAAATGCATGTACATTTGGGCAATTTCAGACATTTTTGCATTGAGATGTTGTACAAAATTTTACGAAATCAGTTAAATGCAAATATCTTACACCAATATTTCATTAAGAGTGTGGCATAGAAAACATATAATGTTGTGAAACATTTTATCATGTCATAAGAAATATCAACTCGTCATATATAGTGTGACAGCAGCAATAGATGGTTCATTGGCAGGCTAAGATTAAGTTGAATAAAAAAAAAGCTAAATAAATAAAAAGAGTTCTTTAAAGAGGCTGAGTCTCTCACTTAAAAAAAAAGACATATATAAAGGAATCAGCAAAACATTTGCAACCATCTCTCCTGTTGTCATATTAATCAATATTTAACGTTCTCTTTTTTTTTTTTTTTAGAAACCATGCATGCCATGTCTTCTGTACTGAAAAAGTCAGCCATAATCCGTCTTTTTATTGGGGCACAGTTCAAACGAATCATGTCAAATTCTTTGTACCTCCATACCCATTTTGAGCTTGAAATAAAACCTCTGTCAAATCCAGAACTAGACTGTGACAGGATCCAGCTGCTGTAGATCATCCTTGGTCCTGGACGGGAGTGGGTTTTGTCACATTACTCCCTGTCCTGTAAGGTAACACTGTCACTCTCACTAAACCTGACAGATTATGCAAGAGTTCTCATTTAATCCCTCTAAATTTCCTACAGCCTGAGGGACAGCAGAACTCAAATGTATTCACCATTTTGTCTGCACGATATCATCATGACTCTGGCTTTGATTGAGGTGGACAGTTCAGGTCAGTTCATTGTTGGAAACCCTTCTGCTTAGCTCACAGGACCACCTGCAGTCTGTCTTCAGGCTTTATCTCCAATATAATGGCTAGAGAAATGGATTAATCAAGCCATGGAAAATGTTCTTACAATGGCAGCCTCATCTGATCCTAGCACCTGGAGTTCAGGACGACCTAAGATTGAGTCTCTGAACAGCACACTTGTCTGCTGTTTTTTGTATTGAGAGGAGCACTGTACTCGTAGCCCCTCTTTACACGCCACTTGAGCTTGTTTGCAGAAGCACGCTGGAGTGATTATTGAACTGCAAACGAAGCTCAGTTCATTCCCGATCCAACCTTCCATCTGTTTCTGGAAAAACTGATCAAGTCAAGCCTGGGAGAAATCTAACCAAGACTGTGAGGTACTGGGATCCTTTTTCTGTTGGAATTAAGACACTACTCTGTCAATTGATCACTCTGATTAACTGGTCAATCGCAACTTTTATTGGCACAGTGAACAGCATCAGACCAGAAAAGTCATTAGATATCATCAGTCATTGCAGCTCTTTTTTTCCTGAGATGTATTTTGGGTCCTGCATGAAGGATTCAGAAATACATTTTATTCAGGTTTTTCATCTGTTTGTTTTAACTAAAAGTTTTGAACCTTGAATGGACTAATGTGAGGAGGTCCAAGTTAATTTATCTGACCTCACAGAGATTTAGTAAACCGTATAAATAAGCAAATAAACAGGGAAATAGAATAAAAAACATATAACAGACACCCACTGTTTTTTTCAACTTAACTTTTTAAAGAACAAGATAAAGATATATATCCTTGACCATAACAGTCTAAATAAGAGAGCAAAGACCAAACTAGCCTTACAGAATTTAACTTTATTTGATTTCTATAGCGCCAAATCACAACAACAGTTATCCATCCATCCATCCATTATCACCTGATGGGGTCGCAGGGGGAACTGGAGCCTATCCCAGTGGTCAACGGGCGAGAGGCAGGGTACACCCTGGACAGTCCGCCAATCCATCGCAGGGCCACACACAGGACATACAAGGACAAACAAGCACTCACATTCACTCCTAAGGGCAATTTGGAATGTACAATCAACCTAACATGCAGGTTTCTGGACTGTGGGAGGAAGCCGGAGAACCCGGAGAGAACCCACAGACACAGGAGAACATACAGACTCCACCCAGAAAGGTCCTGGTTCCCCCGGGACTCCAACCCAGAACCCTCTTGCTGGGAGGCGACGGTGCTCGGTACACTATAATAAATGGAATAGGCTGCAGTGATTTCCAGCTTGGGTGGGAAAGACTCAGAACAAGGTTTTCAAAAGAGTTGTAATTCAGTTTAGGTTTAGAGCTGATTACAAGACTGGAGTCGAAGATAGCTGCAACTCCACCCCCTCGACCTGTGCTTCGAGGAATGTGAGTATTCCTCTGACTGGGAGGGGTGGATTCATTTAGGCTCACATATTCTTCATCATGAGCCAGGTTTCAGTAAGACAAAATAAATCAATTTCATAATCTGATATTAGTTCATTTACTAGCACACCTTTAGAAGAGAGAGATCTGATATTGAAGAATCCACATTTTACTCTCCTATTTCATTTCTCTTGTGGTTTAAAATTTTATGAGGTTTTTATGCACAACTCCTCTGTTTACCCTTGATTTAAAAAATGTCAATGGCCAGGGGACAGACATCGTCACTATAAGGTTTTCACTAATAAACTCCTGGAATGGAGGAGCAGAGAAGCTCCTTAACCCTGGACTGTCACTGATCTAGTCTGCTAACAAAGTTGGCTAGGGTTCTAGAATTGAGAGTGGCTCCTTCCCAGGTGGGATGGATGCCGTCTATCCGAACCAGGCCAGGTCTTCCCCAGAAGGTCTGCCAGTGATCCACAAAGACCACATCGTTTGCTGGGCACCACCTCAATAGCCATCGGCGAAATGATGACATGCGGCTATACGTGTCATCACTAATCAGTAGTCTAGTCTGACATTGTTTTTGCATATCTACACACTGACTCCACATTAATGTTAGTGACTTCTGACTGTCGCAACCGGGAGCCATTAACACCCACATGGATAACAATCTTACTGTATCTACGTCTACCCTTAGCCAGAAGTTTCAAATAAGACTCAATGTCACCCGCTCTGGCCCCAGGGATGTACTTAACCATACCAGCTGGCTACGTTAGCCTCAAATTTCTCAGAATGGAGCTGCCTATGACTAGGGTTGGTTTCTCGGCGGGTGGCTTGCTGAGTGGGGAAAATCTGTTAGCAACGCGAACTAAGGACTTAGAATGCTTACGACTATTCGTCCCTCGGACAGCCACCCAGCTACCCTTTCCTTGACAGGCATTCAAATCTTTAAGTGTAGCATCCTAAAACAATAATAGAAGTTAGTCTTTAAATTAAATTAGAAAAAGACAACGACATTAACTAAGCACAATTTATGTGGTTTGCACTTCAGGGCCACCGTACGTATTTACCCAAAGTAAAAGTTATCCCAGAGAAAAAGACATCAGCAGCCATTGAACTTTGAGCCACAGGATTGATATGTGCAGCAGTCAATAGACTATTATGTGAATCTAAGATAAGGTTAATGCCCTGGAGAACTTAAAAGGCGGGCTCACCGTTCGCCTTGCAAAAGGTCAAAGACTATTCGCAGTCTCCTCGCTGAAATTGTATTCACATGCTGTGTACCCCCAAAGGTTTGATGCGACTTGGCACCGGGGCCACGGCTTGGCTTATGTAAGCTTTTGAAACAGATTTAGCTGCCACAACAGCGAGAAGGCCCAAGGGAGGACGTGTGGGTAGAAACACTTTAACATGCTCCCCCCACATTCAGTGCTGCTTTTTAGCTTGTAAGGAATGAGCTTTGTTGCCACAGGGAGGGATGAATACTCTCTTCAAAACCCAGTAAATGTATTCACACCACAGAGGAGAATAAAAAAGCCACAAAGATGCCCTGAATGGGTCTGTAGTGTGTACAAAGACAGGCTGTCCTTAATGTCAAAACAAGAAATATTCTCCGTGCGCAGTCAACCAAAATGATCCGTTACAGTTGACACCTAACCAAGTAAAGGTGTCAGGAGGTGAATATTTTGATTGTTTTCTTTTTTTTTTCTCCACTGAAAGCACCTCTAAGACGACCAAACAAGGTAATATTTAGACAGGAAAGAAGTAAATGGTGAATATTTTAAAGGCTATCGGATCCGTGGAATGTGAGGTATGCACAAAGTGTGCATGTGAACAACAACCTGAAGTGAGAAGAGACGTTAGATGCCCTTGTTAGGAGTGTTTCCTGAACTGACATTTAAAAAAGCATGGCAGAATGTGCTACAGTGAGGAAATGGGTGAGGAGCAGTGTTTGGATGGTGTGGTGTTATTTATTCAGTCAAATGCTTGTTTTGTGTTTAAAGTGCAGACTGATATCAAATATAAATACTTTTGCAACTGGCTGCATACTGATGTAGAAAAATGGCCCTTATTGCTCCTAAAGTAACAGTGTTCCTTAACCTCAATGCCTCTAACCTGTATTGTGACTGTTTTAGCCCTTTATGATTTGATTATGTAGAAATCGTTAAAAGGTCCATTGAGGTTTGGAGGGCAAAGAGTTACTTTTTAGTAACTGTAGTAAGTGAAGAAAAAAAAAGTGTTTGTAATATGTGCAGTTGTTCAAAAAAATATTCTTGGCACACATGCACTCTTAATGTGCTTATTGTGCATTTTTCCCAGTTTATTTAAGCTTTTTTTCTCTTGTTTTTTTATTTTTTTATTGTATGATTAGGCCCCTTTCCAATGTTGTAGCCAATCCAGTGAGCTTCACATTATCTGTTAAAATAAAAATGTCAAAATCTCTGAAGTACTTAAGTCCCTTTATTGGTTCCCTGTACAATTTAGAATTTTTTTTAAGTGTCACGCTAACTTCTAAATCACTCAATTTTCATTTACAATGACATGTACATTTAGTGATTACACAGATCAATTGACCAGTTCCTTTATGTTGTTCAGAGAGAAATGGGCTTTTACTGTTGAAGCCTCAAATTATGCCGCCAGTTTACACATTTTAATTATTGCTTTAAAATTATACATAAGTGTTTTTTTTTAAATTCCCATAGAGCTAAATCTGACTATAGTGTCTGATTATTGCTCTCGGCCTCTCGCTTAGGTCTCTGGCTATAAAAGCTTCCTGCCAGAAGTTCCCTGCCAGATTGTCTTGAACCTCATAGCCTGCAAATATCAATCAGAATCAGAATCAGAAATACTTTAATAATCTCAGAGGGAAATGATTTAATTTAATTAATCCTTGCACATTTGCCTTGATTTTTGTTTTGTTAGACCAGACCATTGCCTGTTGCCTTTTTTTATTTTTTTAAATATCACAAATCGGAAACCTATTCTTCTTCTGTGTATGATAAACCAAAGTTTGACGTTCTGGAAAAGTGCATTGTTGGACGTTCTCTGACTGAGCGAGGTGCTGATTCTGGAGCAGGTCATCCAAAGGAGGACTCCAGCCTGTGTGCATCAGGGGTCAAATCTGATGCTAACCAGTATCTGGCCGAATCATTATTTATTTCTTTTATCTGGTCATTACTAGAACTTCTCTTTGATCCCATCTAATGAATGTGAAGCATCTGGTAGAGTCAGACTCATGTTGGGCAGCCATCTGCAGTGGGGCTGAGAGGACAGAAATAAAGGAACAATGAGCACCATAATATAGTGAAAAGCAGAAACTCAAAATAAGACTTTTTTCCCCCCTATTTTGAAATATCATTTCATGCTTTTTTTTGCCAATATTGTACATTTAAATTGACAATATTTTCAAATGTACGATCTATAAAAACCTTTCTCTTAAATAAAAAAAACACTGTCCCATAGAGACTTTACTTAAGACACTGGCAATTTCCTAAAATCCCAACACAGTCCTTTGCAAAACATCTGGCCGTGAAACTTTGTTAATGCTAGTTAAACATTGCCAGTTCACATTCCTCTAAACCACAGATCCATATAATCGTAGAATTCCTGACTAGCACCGTGTACTAATATATTGTCATGACAGTGTCTATAAATAGGCGAATTAAGGTATGATCCATTTATTTAAAAATAACAAATAAATGACATTTTTTCATCCATTAAATAGCTTTGTTCATGTTTTTTAAGAATAGCCACACATGGCTTTAATGTTGCAGATATATAACAATGCACAATAAACCAGATTTAGTAAGGGCCTTTCTACTGTTAAATAAAATATATGTGGAGAGAGAAAAACAACACACTGTACTGTTAATGTGGCTCTTGCACAACCGCTTTAGTAGCTCACTTTCCCATCACTAGGTGACAGATTTATGGAGGTGTTTCATAAACCTCTTAAATATTATTCAGCAGCAGCTATTGAAACATGGTGGTAGAGAGAAGGAGGGAAGAAGGAGGGGTTAAAGTGGGTTATATCACATCTCAGGATCCTCTGGCTGACCTCATTGTGTTTACTACAGCTCAGCTGCATCTAAAGGACTTTAAACTGGAGCCAGAAGAAGTCCATAAACACCTGCATGGGAATTTGGAGACTGTTAAACCTAAAGCTTTTCAAAACCCATCAGCTTTTTAGTTTCAACACAAGTAGCGTGGGTCAAATTACCCCTCTGGTAATTTATGAAAGACCTTAATTAGAAAAAAAAATCTAATGCATTTCAAGTACTGTTTGAAAGAACCAGTAGTTTCAAACAATTTCTTTACATTATCAAAATCAAACTCTATTTTTTTGGAAATCAAACTTCCACCAGATACTTAATCAGTCACAATAAACACTGGAGATGCTCTTGTTGTACTCACTGTTAAATTCCACCAACTTGGTAAAATTGTATTCAGTTGTCTGCAAAACTGTAATGTTGTACACAAAATGTTGAACATAAAATTCTCAATAAATCAAAACAGACTGGCTCTATTTTTCCATTGGATACTTGCTACCAGCATTACAGTAACCCATCCATCCATCCATCCATTATCTGAACCACTCATTCCTAAATGTGGTCACGGGGGGACTGGAGCCTATCCCAGTATTCAATGGGGAGAGGCGGGGTCACCCTGGACGGTCCGTCATTTTAGGGCCCAGTACAGGAAGCCATTAGAGTTATATTGACATAGTAGTGTGTTTAGCATCTACCAACAGTTGCACAGAATTCTGACAAGAAGTAACCAGGAGCATGCGAGGAGGTTGGACAGGAGGAGTGGGATGCACATTTTTTTTAGGAAATACCATGTACATGTTTATTAGTGTGCCAACCTTGAGCTACCGTTGTTTGGGTTTTAATTTCTTGGACTTTGTTTGGAGCTATAAAAAACAAAAGATAGTCGATTAGTTAAGGCCGGGCTGTACATGTTTGTCTTTAACGTGAAGAGATGGTAATATGTTTAAACTGGTAAATCAGATCCCCAAAGACCTCAGGATTCCTGCTCTCAGTTATGTGAATATCTGAACTAAATAAAGACCTGGTTGTAGTTTTACACGAAATTAACCAACCTTCTCTTGATCAAAGGAATTTTAGAAGAAAATTTCCAGTACTGATTATTTGTCTATTCATGTTACAATCTGGAGAACCTGGGTTTACTCTCTCACACACACAGAAAGTCATTTACCCAGACACACACCTCTTCAAGCTAGCTGCACACTTCGGAGATGTCCTTGCTACAACTGTTGTTGCTGCCTTTGGCCTCAGATGCTTGTTTTGTTTTTGTGCCTTTTTGTCTTCGCTGTATCCACTTGCAGGTGCTCCTAAAGGTTCTCTGTCCAGATTGCCCACAAGAAACCACAGGATATGTTTTTTTCTTTTTAACCTATCAGCTGGTTGTATAGCTTTGTTGTCTCTCTTTTTTCTTTTTTCTTGCTGTTTAAAGGATATTTCTCCTTTTGGGTTTGTTTTTTTCTTTGCTCTTCCTTCTTCCCTGTCCCTCTGTCAGGTTTGGCATTATTGGATACATCTAAAGTTTTGCAACAAAAATAAGCAAATAAAGCAGCGTTTGATAATTAAGGAGGGCTTTCACCCATAAAGCCTCAAATGTGTTCACCATAGCACGGTACTCAGATTTAAGTTCTGCTGCCATAATGCTGAACAGGACAAGGTATAAAAAAAAGAAAATAAAAGGACTACAGAAACCGTCATTACATTACATTACGTCATAACAATTAGTACTGATGGACAGATCTGATTCCCATTTTGATGATGGTGGTAAAACTGTGTCCTCTGTCTTGGACAATAACTTATATATAGTAGTTTTGGGGTAAAAATGTGTAAATATTCTGCTGCCTGCAGAGGAAGTTGCAATACCAGTTAGTCGATGATATTCTTCTTAGTTAAGACATACAATATTAAACGGCAGTCAGTCAAAGTCAGAAAAAGGCATCAAAGCTCCTCAGAGATCCCTAAAGTTGATATGACGTAAAAAAGTGCCATCTCTCTTTAGGTAGAAGTTAACTGTGTCTGTGAATGGACAGGATAAAGGTGACAGAAAGGAAAGGGTCCTGAAAGGGAAAGAAGAAATGGTGAACGAACTGTGCATTAACACCCTTTCAGCCCTGACGCACGCTGAAAATTACAACATAATCACATAAAGTGTTTCCTCTCCTGCCTTTGCTACTTAGAAAATAATTAAATGAGAGGAAACACTTTGCATAACGCACATCTGTGTGCTTTAATTAACCTAATCTCTGTCAAATCTCTGTTTGTGTCACAGCATTGACACAAACCTGCAAACAGAGAGGACTGGCACATCTCGGCTATAACACTGCTGTATTATGCAGGCTGCCATGTTGAATCTTTAATCAAAGGTTCTGTAGCAGTGAAAAAATCCTCACTGTAAACTGGCATTAAAAAAAAGGAGGAATACACCCGGTGCAGGCAGGTAGTATTTAGCTAAATGAAATGTCTATTGTTTATTTTTCTGTTGTCCCTGCTCATCTACTGTAATAAAAAGAACTTGGAATGAACTTTTAGTCACCGCTTATGCATATCTTAGCACATTAGAGTGAACAGTATTACCCAAAGAAAAAAAAGCTAAAGACTCATTGATAAAAATGTGCCTAATGTTTCATCACAGGTTCAGACTGACATGAGGATTCTATAGTACATCTCTAATAGCTCTTTTTAATTGTCACCGGGTTTAG